AAGACATTAATTTTAAAATAGCAATAATAAATGTAAGTAAGAAATTCAAAGAGGGTATAAATTAATGTCAGGATGAAGACCATGGAAACAAAAACACAAAAAGGCTGAATGCAATTTTTTTAAAATCCAAGATACGAAAATAGAATCTAGTAAACAGGACTCTAAAAATCCAAAAGAAATAAACTTTGAAATGAAAAATTAGAAATTCAAGCAAAAGCTCCAGGGCAAGATTCACCAATAGATGAGATGAGATGGAAAAGAATATTAGACAAAGAAAATGTTAAATAAAAAAAATCCACAAAAAAGAGAAAACAACAGCAACAAAAAAAATACAAGCACAGAACATGTAAGAAGTATGAGATCTTATTTTTTAATGTAGTAGCTATAGAAAAAGACTAGATCAATTTCATAAATGGTATTTTTAACAAAATCATAGAAAACTTCCATAATCTAAGGAAGGAGATGTCTGTAGGGGGTGATATTTGGAAAATGGCACCTGGTCTGGCTTGTTCCCAGGCAGCCACCATGTTTCTGCTGCTCCTTGGCTCTGAGCAGGCCCTGGCACCCATGAGAAGCCAGTGTTGGGGATGGTTCTGCCAATCCACCATGCTGCATCCACAAAGCATATCTGAACCCCAGACAATATCTGCCATTCTCTCAGTACCCGGTAGAAATGAGACTCTTCAAGCTTAATGATTATCTAAAGGATTTATATGTTTAGAACTGCTTGATCAACAAGATGCCCACACAATTAGAGTTGTTACCCAATAGCTAACCTTTTGATAGAAGTTGCTACCCAGGACAGTTTCAACCCATCCATGGTTCTCCATGGCTGATATCCTCCTTCTTCTCCTCCCCTTCCTCTATTTCTCCCCTCCTCTTCCTCTTTTTCTCTCCACCCCTCCCTCTCTTTCTCTCCCAGCTCCACCTCCTCTTCTACTGCCTAATCACCGAGCTCCACTGCAAATACAATGTAGCAGAATAAGTATCCTGCTACAGATGTCAATCAAGGTCCAAGGGGCACACAAAACACCATAAAAGACCACAAAAGAAAATATTCATATCACATATTAGTCAAAACACTAAATGAACTAAACAAAAAAAGTATTCAAAGATAGATGAGAAAAAGATTAAGTCTGATATAAATGCAGGCCCTTCAAAATGACACCTAACTTTTCAGTGGAGACTATGAAAACCAGAGAGGCTGGGACAGATGTTCTACAAGTTATGAAAAAATGCCAGCCCAAACTGCTATACCCACACATACAAAAATAAATACACGCATGTGGGTTGGCACATATGTGCCACAGTGAGTGTGAAGAGGGCAAAGGAAAATTGCAGAACTCAGTACTTTCTTCCAACTCAGGATGGATCTCAGGCCATCAGCCTTGCTAGCAAGAGCCCTTTCCCACTGAACGAGCTCACCAGCAGGCCCAACTTGAAGATTTTTCACTGCTTGCTTGTTTGCTTGCTTGCTTGTGTGTCTTCACAGGGAATTTCGGTCTTTCCAAAATTCCACAGACTTATCTGGAAATCACTTTAGAGGCAAAGCTAAACTAGAATGATGGCAGGGGATTGCCCTCTGTCTCAGTGCATTGACTACATGCCTGGAAGCTACACACAAAGAAATTTTATCCCAACAAAAAAATGCATCCAATCCCCTTATTCTATGTGACTCATTGCTATACATGGCAGATGGCATTTTACTTTACTGCATTGGCCATTTGCTCTCTCTCTCTCAGTGCACCCAATAAGCAATTATTCAAGCAAATATATGTTTGGAGATATACATCAGGGAGTAAGAATAACAATTAATAAATGAGACCTCATGAAACTAAAACTGTTCTGAGCAAAAAAGATAAAATCATTTTATTCATTTGAATAAAAAGGCAGCCTGCAGAATGGGAAAAAATCTTTACTAGGAATCTATCTCACAGATGGTTAGTATCTAAAATATACAGAAAAAGTAAAAGAAGTGATACCAAACAACCTGATTCAAAAATAGAACATAGAACTAAAGAGAGAGAATGCTCAAAACATAAAATACAAATAACTAAGAATCATTTTTAAAATTGTCAACATCCTTAACCATCAAAGAAATGAAACTCCACTTTGTCTCAATCATAATAGTCAAGATCAAATGACAAAAAATAATGCTAACATTGATGGGGAATAAAAGAAACCCTTACTCACTGTTGGTAAGAGTGCAGACTGGTATGTTTATTATAGAGATCAGTGTGGATATTCTTCCAATGCTACCACATGAGCCAGGTGTAGGCTAACAAATTAAAAACCTATTGCCAACCTCTTTTGGAGTTGTTGTCAGTGAGGTCCTATAGAAACCAATGATTTACAGGCAATGGTTACCCTTCATGTGATGAGGGTAAGACACTACTGCTGAACATCATATGCTTCAGTTACAGATTATGGAGAACTCAAGCTGGTTCTGGTCTGAAAGAGTCATCCCTACTGGCTAGCTTTCATAGTTCTGGAAGGTGATGTGCACACTACCAGACATGAAAAGTAGTCATCAACCTCACCCAGCTGAACCCTTTGAACTAAATAATGACTAGACTGGCAAGTCACACTCACTGGAGCAACAGTGACATGAAAATGGTTGGAGCAGTCCACAACTTTCTGATTGGATTTTCATCCCATTCCACAAGATGAAGCCCATATCTGGCATCATTATCAGAAAGAGAAGCTGTGGCTAGATGGGCTAGTCATATTCCTCTAGTGAAGAGCAGACTGCTATTATTCCGCTAAATTGACAGACTATTCTATAGAATTATACCAAATCTTAATGACTTGTGTTGACCTATAGATTATTGCTCCTCAGAGAAGCTTCTATTTGTAGTACATGGCATTTTACACAAAGACCCACATGATGCCAGAGCACGGAGAATGAGACTGAGGAATGCTCAGCCCCCAAATAGTCCTTCCACATCACATCCTTCTCCCCAGGGCTCAGGGTTTGTGGAAGAGGAAGCAGAAAGAGTAGAAGAGCAAGAGTCAATGGATGACACAAGGAAATAGCATCTTCCAGACATACATGCAAAGCAGCTGTACGTATGAACTCATAGTATCCACAAGAACTGTGCAAGATCAAGTCAGGTCTAATTCTAGCATGGAGAGGGAGTTATGGATGAGGTTCAGTCTGAGCAAAGGAGCTATTTTCAGGTGATAGAGGCTGGGAGAGAGAATCAGTTTTCCTTAAGAGTATAGTCCATGGTAATTTGGCCATGTGTCCAAGAGGACATTGGATGCACAAATTGAACTTAAAAGGTTGCAGAAATGAAGACAGAAAACTCGGGGATCTCCCTTCCCATATGATCATATATACATGTACATATATGATCAACATATAGTCTATGAGATTCTCAAAGAACTAATTTTTAAACTAATTTTAATAAGGTAGAGCTTATTAAAAACAAGCAAATAAATAAAGATTATTTCACTGGCTTTCACACATTTGTGGGGTGTTATAAATAAATGAATGTACAGCCTTCTCTGACTACAGTCATCTTTTCTCATACCCATAAACACCTTAGAAAGTACTTATTAAGTCATGTCTTAGTTAGGTTTCTATTGCTATGATTAAACACCATAATCAAAAGCACTTGGAGGTGAAAGGGTTTCTTCAAGCTCACAACTCTCAGGCCTCAGTACATCACCTAATGAAATCAGAACAGGAGCTCAAGGCTGGCGCCTGGAAGCAGGAACTGAAATAGACACCATGGAGGGTTGCTGCTTCCTGGCTTGCTTTTCATGGCATGCTCAGCCTGGGGCCACTAGCCCAGGCGTAGCACAACTGGCAATGAGCTGGAACCTCCAACATCAATCACTATTTAAGAAAATACGCTACAAGCCTTTCTATAGCCCAGTTTTATGGCAGCGTTTTCTCAATCAATATTTAGAATGCAGCTAGACAGTATAGTGGTTTAAGAAAACAGGAGAAGGAGTAGGAGGAAGAGGAAGTAGTGGTGGTGGTGTCACACCTCACCAGTAGTTAGCTAAGTTTTCAGTACCAGGAAAAATTCCTTCCTAATGAGGGGGCTTTAAATTCAGTTAGGTGGCTGTTGGTTACTATCAGGATGCAGGTGCCACTATTACACTTTTATGTCTCTTTCAAGCATCTTTAGTTATCCCTCCCCTCCTTAAATCTCCTTCTGTATTGCCCCCACCCACCCAAGGCAAGTATCTCTCACCAGTCTTTCCATTTCTAATTTATGAGACTTTGATAAGTGCTTTTTTTCTCTAATTTGTACTTATTTTATTTGAATCTTAAAGATTAACTCTACTTTTTTATCTAATCAAAATTTGATCTTATACAATTCTACACATGTACAGTACATATTGAACCCTCTCAAGTCTTACCATCTTCAACTGTCTACCACCTATGCCAAACCCCTCTCCTCACAAATCTGACTGTAATTTTTTTGATATATTGATTTATTTGATATAAAATCAAAGCCTATTGATTTTATTTTTTTATATATGGAGTTTAACAAGGGTCATTGTTGTGACCATGGGAGCTGTCTATTGCAATCTGGTACGACCAGAAGAGGATATACAACAGAAGGCAATTCTCTCTCAGAGTCCACCAATAGCTGAAGTTCAGCAGTAAAGGGCATAGTCTCACAAGCCCCTCCTACTTCAGTGACTGATTGTCGATACAGCTAGTCTCGTGTTGGCCTGGGTGAAGGTAATCATTACTGTTGTAAGATAATGATTTTCATGGTTATATCAAGTCTAGAGAATAGTATTTCACAGTCATTTATCCAGCCTTTCAACTCTTACATACTTCCCACTTCATTTTCTGCAATGTTCTGAGCTTTAGAATCACGTTTGTTTATTTCTTAACATCTAAGGGAGCGTGCAATTGTTATCCCTCATTTATTAAAAACAGGTCTCACAGCATTACTAAGGTCAAGGCACATGAGCTGGAACTGTCAAGCCCTATGACCTCTCAGTTAATATGATGTGGTTTCTCATTGCAGCATTTCAGTTTCGTGTCTCTGCCAACTGATGTGCTAGAAATTGAAGTGAAGGACAAGTTTGCCAAGAGTCGTCCCATCATCAAGCGTTTCTTGGGAAAGCTGTCAATGCCTGTTCAGAGGCTGCTGGAGAGACACGCCATAGGGTAAACTGTGACTGGGGTGGATGTGCTTCCACTTACAGGCCATGCCCAGGAAGGCTTGTAAGTTGCCATTACAAAGTCTGATGGAAAGACAACTAAAATGTTTCCATTTTAGGGGCTTTTTCCCACCAATGTCATTTCCTGGGCCATGGTATTCAGTTAAATCCTCCCCCTTCTTACTCTTGTGTAGTTTGTATAATACATATTAAAGAGTATAAAAAATTCATAGACAATATTGAAAAAATAATACACATTTTTCTGTATAAACATAGATTTAAACTTTGCCATTGCTATTGAAAGCATTTCATTCCTTCACCTGTCTTGTATGTAGGATTTAACCACATACTGCACTTCCATTCCAAGATGAAATACTATGTTTCTTGAAGAAATAGCATATTTCTCAAAATATGCTATTTACAGAAAATTTTAGATGAAAATTTGAAAGCATGCATTCTCATGGAAAGACAGCAATTATATTGGTTGCAGCAGTTAATTGTATATGAGAATATGCTTTTGTGTTTTAAATATTTGGCTTTCATATTCACTCATGGTTTTTATTAAAATGAACTATGATCAGATCATCTCTTTGTATAATGTGTATTTCCTTAGAGAACAATACTATATTTGAAAATATCAGCATAGGTCTTTGGCTATAAGTGTATCATTAATATGATATGACTCATAGAGAGATATCAAAGAATGAAAAATATTAAGCAGACTTTTGGGGTGTTTTAATTAAGTTCTCTGCGGATTTGTTTAGTAACTGACAGTATATGTATGGGTGTGTGCACATAAGGGGTCCATTAATTTCAAATCACAGGAAGTTGACATATAGGGAGCTACTGTCCCCATTCATGTTTGTGAAAACCAAACAAACAACATCCTGGCATAAGATGCCTAGTATTATCATTGGCACATAGTAGGTACTTCCAAGGAAATAGTGTACCTTGAGACCTTTGTCTTTTCATTTGGTTTTCATAACACCTCTGTAACTTAAACATTATGTCTTCTCCATATAAGAAAGTGAAATCTGTGACGGCTAAGTCAAGGTTAAATTCACATTTGCCTCCCTCCAAGACCAAGTATAACCTGTCCCCAAGAGAGGTTCCCTGCAACCGACTGTCTAGTTAGCTGTTCTCCTACTCTTCATACCTGTCCTACTCTTACACTGCTAATGCTCTGCCAGGTGTGGGCCAAGGGGACAAAAAGTGGGGTTTTCTAAGATGTCTGTTAGTCTAACTGTGCACTCACATTGGCCTAACAGATACTCAGTTTCTCCCTGCTGGGCTGCACTCTGGATTATTACAACTAGAGAGAGGACTTGTCTACTTCCCTATGCTAAGTACATTTTTAGTATCATCCTGCAAGCCCTGCCCTTCACTGTGGAAGAATGTCTACTAGGTAGCAAAAAAAAACAAAAACAAAAACAAAACCAAAAACAATAAAAACAAAACAAAAAACAACAAAACAAACAAAGAAAAAAAGCAGTTGAGGTAGAAGAGGGTCTCCCCAAACCTGAGCAAGGGAGTTTGGTTTTCCTAGTGCTCTTTCAACTTGGAGGAAGGGGCAGTACAGATGAGTATGAGCAACAATAAGTCTTTGTGGGATTCCTTTCCATCACCCTATTTGGTTTGGAAATTCTCCAACTTCTAATCCTCCACTTCCTCCTGCTGCTTTGCTTCCTCTTTCAAGGCCTATAGCATCCATTACCTGTAGAGATTCCTTCTGTAGTGCTGCCCATCATGGAGATGTGCAGTGTAAGTAGGAACAAATTACTGGGCTATGGCCATGAAGCAACAGTCATTTGCCTTGAGCCATGGTACACCCCCAGAGTACACACACACACACACACACACACACACAGAGTTTCCAGTCCTCTCTCCATTAAATGAACTTAATTCCATTTTGCCATGTGATCATCTTTATCTCTCATTACAATTAAGCTTTAGATTTAGAAAGTATTTTTTATAATCATAGTGGACATACTTCAAAATATTGATCAATATCACTCCTTTCTAAATGGACAGAACTTTGTGCTTCACCATATTATACCTCCATATACTGTTTTAATTAACAAACTCTGACAATAAACATCATGTCATGCTTTAATCAAAAAAAAATATAAAATTTGTGGACAACTAGACCATATTATTTGTTTCATAATGTCAGTTTTTTCTAAAAACTCTTTTAATATTGACATCAATTGATTTGTGTTTTCATTTGAATATCATAAATGAATTAATGGGGTGACTGTAGAGTAAATAATCAATTATGGACTATGCCTTTGTTTGTACCTAGATATCCCAAGTAAGTACTTTTTCCTAACTCAGCCAAGGTAGCAGGCAGTTACTTTGTGTCTGTGTGTATGTGTGTGTGTGTGTGTGTATCATTACAACTCCCAATTAATTTCTTCATGTATAGATTATATTTTCAGTAAGTTAAAAACTTATTTTGAATGTTACCTGAATCCAGAATAGTCAATATTGGTATAACTGGAAGTCAAAGATGAGTCAACACAGATCACAAGTCTTGTATTTGCTCCATCCTCTAGCAGGGGGCTTTCTATAGCACAAAACAGGCTTTCCAGTACCTATTATAGCATCTATCCTTCTTCATTACACATATATTACATATATTCTGGCACATCTATAGCCAGGGAATATTTGGAAATGAGAACGTCCATAAGAAGGTCAAGCAAAGGCATTTGTCATTTTTGTCCCCTCACCTTCTGTACAACATAGATTCTCAAACCTAGTCTGTAAAAGGAGTAATATTTTGGGATTTACAGATCACAAGTCTCTGTCTAAACTGTTCAACTTTTCCGCAGTAGCAGAAAATAGCCAGAGGCAATGTATAAGCTAATAAGCATGACTGTGTTCCAATAAAACAGTGTTGATGGACACTTATATTTGAATTTCACACAATTTACTCTTTTGAAGTGTTTTTTTCCAGAGCTCATGGCCATGCCAAAATATAAAAAGTAATAACTAAATATGAGCTGTAGTTTTTCTGATCCTTGAGTTAGAATATTTTATAAGAATGTCTTTATTGATCCTACATCTGTACCTTAGATGGGACCTTCACTCCCTGTTATCATGGCTTCTCTGAAATTGCCTATCCCACCAGCTGGTGTAGAAAACACACTGTGTGGTCATCAGCAGGAGAGGTTATTACAGAATCTGTGATGGTGCTTATTTCCTTCTAGGGATAGGGTGGTCAGCTACACACTTGGCCGCAGGCTTCCAACTGACCATGTGAGTGGACAGCTGCAATTCCGATTTGAGATCACATCCTCCATCCATGCAGGTACTTTCAGCATGATCTTCATGTCTTGTGTGAGGCTAGTGTCGTGGTGCAGTTCTTTTCTCTAGAACACAGATAACCATAGTTCTCTCCAAACAGGTCATGGGCTGTGTAATTCTCTGTCATCTCTGTGTGAGTCCCAGAAGCTAGTGATCTATTTTAGAAGCCAGGATTGCCTCCTTGATTAAAAGATTCCTCTTCACCAGGGTCCAGAGATAGAAAGTTACACAGTAGAATAGAGGTCAACAATGTGATACAAAACTGTATCTTATTATTTTATTGCCATAACCTCACATAGAAGATGCTCAAAAGCTGTTTAATCATTCTATACATGAGCAAATGAATGAATGATAAAACATGAATGTGAATCATCTCTTTATACCTAGTAACTAATTATCGATTGGCTATGAGCTGAAAATGTTATATTGTTGAAGAACTGCAGTTAGATAAGTACAGGGAAAATAAAAATCATGAACAGAAATTTTCAGAAACATTCTATATTCCATTTTCCATATCAAACCATATTTCCAAACAGTAATGATGAGAAGATGTCTCATAATCCTTTTCTATTCCCCTGTAGCACCCATACTAAATGTAAGTCATGTGGAGAAATGTTAAGTCCTCTTGAGCCAAGTCTATGAGTTACTGTTACTGAGTTACTGAGAACTCAGAGCCTGAAGTATATCACCACCCAATCCCTAAGCTTAAGTATACACTAGATTGTAAGGAAACGTTTTTGTGTTCTCCTGTCACATTCAGCCTTTTGCTGCATTCTTTGACTCATCTGTGTGTGCATAAAGATGAATTAGAGCTTCACACTCTAGCAGAGAAATCATTTTCTTCAAATAGGGAATTGTACTAGTACATTTAAAGTCCAATACCAAACTGGTGTATTTCCAGCCAAGGACGGTAGAGTTAAACAGTGTTAACTGTTAAATGTTAACAGAGTTAGATGTATCTTCTTGAAAGATAACGTAGTTAGAAACCTTGGTTTCTGACTATTCAATACTGTAGATGATTATCAATGTAGCCCAATCCCTTGCTTCTTTGTTGCAGCTAAAGACCCTGGCTTAGCCATTCCACATCCTGCAGGATGATCCACGGGAAATGTTTTAAGCAAGTACAATTAACTTGCTTAGGGTTGTTAAGGAATTATGAACAGTACTGCTGTCCTCATCTCTGAAAGTCACTGTATATCACAAATATTGTTGATCTCTGAGGTAGGGTAAAGCTAGGTTTGGGATATTAATTTTTTTCTTACCAGTCCCTTAAAAGAGAACTTTAAAGTAGCAGCCCTTCTGAAAGTTAATAATAATAATAATAATAAATATTGATTATTTATTAAAAATAAATAATAATAAAGTTATTAACATAAATAGCACTCATTACAGAATTTTTCAGAAGCGATTGAGAAACACTCATCCACTCATATCCAGTATCCTACATTAGAGATCCTTTACCATGTTTTACTTGTGCCTACACAGAACATCAGCTCCCATTGCTCTTCTGAAAAGGATGACGTATTTTCTTCTTGCCCACAGATGATGAAGAGGTCTCTCTGAGTGCTGAGCCTGAGTCAGCAGAAATGCAAGACAGTGTCATGAATAGCCATGGGGAGTCTCCTGGTGATGCTGCAGAAGTCTGCAAAGACTCGAAGCCAGAGTCACCAAGTGTAGGGAATGGAGTAAACAGCTCAGAAAACCAAAACCAGGAGTATGCCGGGACAGGTGAGGAAGCTGCAAGTGCTATGGAGACCAGAGATGGTGGCAAGTTCTCTGAAGGACCCGAAGAGGCTGGGGAGCTTCAGGACCAAGAGCAACATGACACCCAGCCCACTCTGAGTGCAGAAGAAGTGGCAGAGGGACTTCCCCTGGATGAGGACTGGCCACCCTCGCTGTTGCCAGAAGAGAGTACAGCTCTAGGTAGCAAGGTAGAAGAGGAAACAGTACCCGAAAATGGAGCCAGAGAGGAAGAGATGCAGGAGAAGGGGAAAGATGAGGAGGAGGAAGAAGAGGATGTTTCTACCCTGGAGCAAGGAGAGCCTGGACTGGAGCTGAGGGCCTCCGTGAGAAAAAAAAGCAGACCATGTTCCCTACCTGTATCTGAGCTTGAGACAGTGATTGCATCTGCCTGTGGAGATGCTGAGACCCCAAGGACCCATTACATCCGCATCCATACCCTGCTGCACAGCATGCCCTCGGCCCAGAGAGGAAGCACCACAGAGGAGGAAGATGGATTGGAGGAGGAATCCACCCTCAAGGAGTCCTCTGAAAAGGATGGGCTCAGTGAGGTGGACACAATAGCTGCTGACCCACAGTCCATGGAAGATGGAGAGAACGATGGGGCTACTCTATGCATGGCACCCTCTGACTGTTCTCGGGGCCATTTCTCCGGTTTATCCAAAAGCATTGGCGCTGGCCAAGATGGCGAAGCTCACCCCAGCACTGGGAGTGAGAGTGACTCCAGCCCCCAGCAGGGAGCAGATCACAGTTGCGAGGGTTGTGACGCCTCATGCTGCAGCCCCTCATGCTATAGCACATCCTGCTACAGCAGCTCCTGTTACAGCAGCTCCTGTTACAGCAGCTCCTGCTACAATGGCAACAATCGGTTTGCCAGCCACACACGCTTCTCCTCTGTGGACAGCGCCAAGATCTCTGAGAGCACAGTCTTTTCTTCACAAGAAGATGAGGAGGAGGAAAACAGCGCATTCGAGTCGGTACCTGACTCGGTGCAGAGCCCAGAACTAGATCCCGAGTCTACAAATGGGGCTGGGCCTTGGCAGGATGAACTGGCTGCTGGTGGGAATGGAGCAAGAACTACTGAAGGTCTGGAGTCCCCCATGGCAGGTCCTAGCAATAGGAGAGAAGGTTAGACTGCAAACCATACCAGTGATAATAGGACCACCACAATTACAGGGCACAAGTCTCCCCATATTGTTGGTGGAAGGACCAGTCCCAAAAATGAGTGCCCTGGACAATGTATGTAGGAATTCAAGCAGTTGTCTAGGTGTGTGAATTTCTGGCACATGTCTCAAATTCACACCAAGAAATATATCCAGTAGGATGTAAGCAGCTACCTACCTATATGTATGCGTTTGACTAATGACCAGAATAGTTGATATAAGTTAGCTTTCTGATCTTGACATCAACCCCACAGTTAAGGAAGTAGTATCAAATGATATAAATATCAAATGATCATGAGCATTAGGTAGCAAATATTTTGACTTCCTAAAACACATTAAAGATCAGTGATACATGTGGATATTAGTTGAAGAACATGGATTCTCCATCCCCTACACACTCGCGGAGTTTGAGGGGACCACTCCTCTAGTGTTTCCAGAAGCACTGGCATTAGAGACCATGGCAATGCACTCTGTAAATGAGAAGGCTACATGTCTTTTTCTTCCTTATTTTTATACCAGCACAGTTTCTGTTATAATAGTTGGTTCTGTTCGTTTGGGCTAGTTTAGCTAATGGAAAGGAAAAACAGCATAATCAACCCAGAGTCACTCAAGTTTGAGCCTGGGCCTTGTCATCCCTAAAACAAGTTACAAAAAGCAGAAACAGGAGGTTGTCGCATTGCAGAAGAGAACTAACAGGTTCAGTGGTACACATAGGTTCATGTTTGGGGGATTGACATAAAACCTGAGTAGTTCAGGCTAAGGGTTAGTTCTGCCCATCATCATTGTCCAGGTCTCCCACCACCCACCATCATCCCCCTTGTCATGATTCCTGCTGGCTTTCCCTGAAGGATTGTCTGACTAATTGGGAGAACTATTTGAAATCTCCCAGAGATCTCTGTTTCTGACTGGCAACAGGCCTCAGCCTTTTCCTTCTCCAACCAAGAGATTCCTAGGAAAATTCATTTCTTCAGTCTGTTGTTTCAATAGTCTGTTAGTCACATTGAGAGACACAAGCGTCTCTCTGGGATATCTTCATTTCTACCAGTCCAGTTACAATATAAATGCATAAATTCTCTTCTCACATTTCAAGTAAGATTCTAATCCAAAGGCAGCCATCTTCAGTTTTAAAATCAATTACTCATTCCATATAAATTCAAACTGATACCTATTAAACTAGTGATTCTTGTTAACATTTTGTTTCTTTTCCTTTTATAAACTTTTACTTAAATCTCAGTTTAAGGCAGTTATCAAAAAAACAAGCTTGCAGACAAATGAAAGAGGCAGAGTCCTGTAGTCATGAGTTAGGCCCTGGAGCTAAGTCCACCAGGTCACTTCCTCACAAAAGACCTAACTGTGCTATATTTCTGCTTCCTTGTGAGCCAAGTGGGTATAATTGTAGCATTGACCTCAGGAATAAATGGAAGAGTTAAATGAGATGAAACAGTGATGCACTCTGCCTTTGTCCTAATGAGATGAGCAAGAAAGCTAACATTTCAGTTACATGAAAGAAACCACCCTTTGAATCTAGCCTCACCATTTTAGCCAAGGAGATTTTCACACAATTAAATGCTAACCACTTGGCTTCAAATAGTATCTTGGTAGTTTATGTTGACAGAAACACATACCTTCAATTAAAATGGAATAAGAATTGGTTTATTCTGGAGCCAAATATGACCTAGGAACACAGTTTTAGGTTACCTTAAATTCTAGGTTCCATAGCATTTTCCTGAAGTTTCTATAGAAACAGAATAAAAATAGTCATAAATAATAATGCTTTAAAAAATCATTGGTGGACACAGTGTGTAGGTCCAGTGGAGAAACCTCAGCTACAGGCCTTAGATGCCATCTGATGATGCTCTTAACCCCTTAGTTGGTGAAAAACTAGAGTGTTGTCAAGTTTATTCTTTCTAAAAGTGTTTTGTTCTTTCATCTGTCAGGATGTTGGGCCAGCTTTATCTACTAGTGGCAGGATGTTAGATCTAAATGCAGAGTGGGGGTAAAGAATGGCTATTTCATAGGTGAATAATAAATGCCCCAACATGAATTGTAATTTGGCCTTGGACCTGGAACATCTTGTCCTTCCCACATCACTGAAACTCTAACTAGTCAACAGTGTTTGCAGACACAGACTTTACAAGAAGTCTCTTTCATGCTTGTATTTCCTACAATTTGGCTACGTTGGTTATAATCAAAATAAACTTAAAGACTCTCTCTTATTTTTAGTTGAGAAATATTATCCCTTCTTGAATATTCTGAACACTTAATTTGATGCAAAGGTGATGTGGAGCTGGGCCCTAGTACAGAACAGAACTGCCTTCATGTCTCATTCAGTCAGCTGCCACCAAGCCTCTGTCACATCCTCAAAGTTTCTTAGGGCTCACAGCTAGGTAGTCATGCTTCCACCAAGCAACAGTATTATATTTCTACAGACTTGGAGGAACAATTAACATATTTGGTCGGGATAAATTACATGAGGTTTAACTAAATGAGGTAAGGTTGTTTTTTTTTATTTTAAGAAACAAAATATAGATACATCAGCTAGTGATATACCAGTTATACCATTGTTTCCTTTTTGAATTTTTTAACACTAAACACTTACAAAAATAAATGTAAGTGCCATAGCCACTTACCCACAAAATCTGTGTTTGAAACAGCCACTTGTCCACAATGAGTTCTATGTTTGCACAAGAAATAGCTTCCTTGATTTCTACTGGTACCTTCAAAGAAGCAAAGCATTTTAGTAATGGTGAGAATGTCCAGGAAAAAATGTATTTTTAATATTAAGAAAGACCTTCTGTTATGAGTACATCTTTATTTTTAGTTGTCAGTCATCTCTTGGAATTAAACTATGAAACTGAGCCCACCTAATATTTTCTACTAATTTATTTTCTGTGGTGTCTATAGAACTATAGTGGGAAAAAAATCATTTCCAGTATGAATGTTCTGGGAAATGTTCACTATTTGAGATCATTCAAAGATCTTGACCATTACTTTTTACTTTCTCTCCATTTTGACCCAAAGATTAATAGAATACATGGCAATAGTCCTGGAAGGAAAACGAAATGATGTCTTTTGTCCTCTTGCTAGTAGGGTGTGAGCATGGTCAGAAGTAGGAGGAAAACAGTACAAAGTTGGGTGGGGGCTGTCTGTGTTCTGAGCCCTTCAGGGTCTCCAGAGATTGAAAGAATTATTTGCTAGAGTTTACATGGTCAATATACACACCTCAGTAGACTGTGAAACAGAAATGCTGTTCCAGAATTTTGTTTGGTTAATAATAAGTCTGTACTAACAGCAGTAGAAGCAATGTACATAATAATGAGTCATAAAATCTATAGATACATTTATTTCTATAATTTCTTTGTATCTGTCTGATTTTCTTTTGTCTATCCCACTTCTCTGTTTCAAATTTTCTTGTATCAGTCTTCTTGCCTTTTATCTACAGCCTTTGTCTATTATCCATTCCTCTTTCTAGAGCACTGTTTGGATTTTTGGACTCTTCCTCCATATAATCTGGACTAACCATGATTTCCCATGACATGTTTGACTCCCCATCTTATCTTCTAATGTCCCTTTTTAGAAATTTACATTCTTGAACCACCAGTTCCTTGATCAATCTTGGAAACATACTATCTGAGAGTTTCAGTCCCCTCTACCTCTGGAAAAAAAACAGTCTTTTAATAGTCTTCTGTTGTTTGAATTATGAAACCATATGATCAGGTATATTTTCCGTAATCCAACACAGCTTTTGCGAGACCTTATAAATATTTCACTCCCTTCAGACAAGCCTGTCTCCACTGGAATGAAATAAGGCTCATTAAGGTTTTTCCTAGTGTTCCTTCCTGATGTCACCTTCTAACCAAAGCAATTCAAGTAGCTACAGAATCAGACTCTGATCACATGTACTGATTAGTGTATGTGGCATAGATCAAGAGTCAAAACATACTTGGATTTTTCTTCTTTCTCCTCTTTTTTCTTCTCCTTTTTCTTCTTTCTCTTCCTTCTTCTTTCTCTTCCTTTCTTTCCTCCAACGTTTCTTCCTTCTTCTCTTCCTTTTCCTTAATAATTTGTGTCATAAATGACATGGTTGTACTAAACTGCCACAAAAACTAGATTTCCCATTTTATTTGTTGTTTCTTATGGTGATCTTTGTTTTATAGTCATGTTTTTTTATAACATTGCCATAGCAATGCATATGAATGTCTTGACTATCTTGTTCATAGGTGAATGTCCTATACTCCATAATTCCCAGCCAATAAGCCAGCTTCCTTCCTTGAGGCCTGAACATCATCACTACCCAACAATCGATGAGCCTCTTCCACCAAGTAAGCTTTAGTTTTCAAATCTATGGCTTAACTCTTCCCATCCAGTCTGAACAGGTCAGTGTGAATTCATATGCAAACACCCAAAATTCTTTCCAAGTTCCATAAGTTGGCAGTGTTACTAAATACCAATATATACCTACTATAAAACTTCTTTTTAAAAAACAAAAAAAGAACAATAAAAAAAACAAGCTGTTTCATTATATGGTATTGAAGTGATAATCAAATGTTAATATACCTAAGTTTCTGAGGCAGAGGCAAAAAAAATTGAAAGACCTCACTAGTCTTTGTTTGTGGCCTTTCAGTCCTAAATTTACCATTTTAAAATTTTCCGTTGGATACAGAACTCTATTTTTCTCCAGTGAATCTATTATTCACAAATGTCTCCATAGAGTAAACAACTTTAACCCATAGTGTTTTAAGAAAGTATAACTATAACTTGCATTAAAGGATTAAAAATTTCAAATGTCTGCTGTAGCTCTTTGGCATTTCCAAGAAAACTATTATTTTTAGGTTAGAATTCAGTATCACTTTACCCTAATAACTGTCCTACATAATTAAAAATTCTTTAGCCATTTGAACTTAGGAAATTCAAGAAGATCTCAGAAAATGGAAAAATCTCCCCATGCTCATGGATTGGCAGAATTAATATAGTGAAAATGGCCATCCTACCAAAGGCAATCTACAGATTCAATGCAATCCCCATCAAAATCCCAACACAATTCTTCAAAGACATGGAAAGAGCAATTCTCAAATTCATTTGGAAAGGCAAAAAACCCAGAATAGCAAAAACAATTCTTAACAATAAAAGAACAGCTATGGGAAATCACCATCCCTGACCTCAAGCTGTACTACAGAGCAATAGTGATAAAAACTGCATGGTATTGGTACAGAGACAGACACATTGATCAATGGAATAGAATTGAAGACTGAGAAATAAAACCACATACTTATGCACACTTGGTCTTTGACAAAGAAGTCAAAAATATACAGTGGAAAAAAGAAAGCATCTTCAATAAATGATGTTGGTCTAACTAGCTGTCTGTGTGTAAGACCCATATTTGTCACCTTGCACAAAGCTCAAGTCCAAGTGGATCAAAGACCTCAACATAAAACCAGATACACTGAATCTAATAGAAGAGAAAGTGGGGAAGAGCCTTGAACTCATTGGCACAGAGGAAAATGTTATTATTTCTGGGAACAAAAGCTTTAATGTCCTCTTCTGCTAAATACTAAGTTTGGACTAAGACAGTCTGCATGTGCCTTTCAGGCTTTACCTGTATCACTCTATCTAAAATATTTAGGAGAAGGAAATGAGGCTGTGAGTGTTGCAACTCATTTAATATGATGAGTACTTAGGAATGCTGGAACTTCTCTGTTGGACTTCAAGATTTTTCCACACAAAGATAATCTCTAATATTGGATAGATTATTATAATACAAATGTGTTCCCAAAATTCACACTTCTGCAAGAGTTCGCATTAGGTAGTTTTAGTTTTCAAAAGGAGAAATGCATATTTAGGAATTCATCTGTACTACTTTCTCCCTATTCAGTCATACTTTAATGGTTGTTAAAACCATTAAAGGAAGTTAATGGTTGAAAAACCTTGGTGCCTCTGTAATGCAGAAGAATCTTCCAAGGAGCCCTTTCCCACCTAACCTCCTTTCCTAGATGTCATAAAGCAATATAGCATCAAAGGAAGTCAGTAAGCAGTGTTTCTCTATGTTCTCTGATTCAAGCTCCTTCCTAAGCACCTGCCCTGGCTTCTCTAGATGAAGGACTGTAGCCCGTAATCTAAATAAACCTTCCCGTCTCAAGTTGCTTTTGGTCAGTGTATAAATGTCCTTAATATATACACTAGCTTAAAGAATCACCACATTTATTTCTCAGAGGTCAAGCCAAACATTATCTTCTTTAATTTTTGATGCTTGATTTCTTTCTTCATTTATATACTGATTTATGATATGAGTAAAAGGGAAAAGAGTAAAAACTCATCATAATTTATATATATTTTTACTTAGCATTTATTTGAAATTTATATATAAATTTATACATGTTACTTTCAAGAAGCATCCTCTTTCCTACATACACAAAAGAAATTCTATCTACACAGCATATATATATATATATATATATATATATATATATATATCTGGATTTCAATTCATATAGCATTAGGACTAGTTATAAATAGAAGCATTATAAATAATTTAATGTAAAACCACTTCAAAATAACTACCTAGCAAAACCACTCTCAACAAATAAAAAAGATTCAAAATAGATTTTAATTTTCTATCCATATAGCAAAGAAAATATTAGAAACTTGAGAATTAATTCTGACAACAGGATTTTGTTAGGAGACCTCAAATAGGACATGAGTGACTTCATTGCTAATAGTTCATCATCCATCAAGTATTTACAGAATACTCTGTACTTGGTGCTGGTGTAGCTAACCAAAATGAACAATGACTGCAGCCCTCATGAAGCATCTATATGCTAGTCTGGGAAGTGTATAATAAGCAATAAAATGGAAACTAGGAGCCTAGTGATAAATGCAATGAGAAAACAAAAGTAGATGAAGGAGACTTCTCATGTGTAGTAGACACTGGTTTGCAGTTTTAGAACTAGAAGTCTAAGCAAGCTTCCCTGAGAGGACAATAATGAATGAGACAGGGGAGTTATACATATAAATGCTGATGGAAAGCTTTACAGGCAAAGAGAGCGGCTGCCAAGCTCTAAGTGGAGACATGATGATGAGCTTGAAGAGTAAAACCAATGCATCCGAGGCAGAGAGAACATGGCTTATAATAAATATGGTCAAGGGAAACAGTACAAACCAATCAGCTGGGGCTCTACTGACTGCTGCAGTTGTTCTCAGCCATCCTAAAGCTGTGACCCTTTAAAACAGTGCCTCATATTGCGGTGCCCCTCAATCTTAAAATTATTTTTGTTGATACTTCCTATCTATTATTTTGCTACTGTTATGAATTTTAATGTAAATATTTGAGATGTAGAAGTTTGTCAAGACCCACAGGTTGAAAACTGCCAGCTAGATTTGCCTTTTATGCTGAATGAGGACACACCACAGCACTTTGAGCAGGGAAGTGGTATTTCTGACATGTATTGTGAAAGTTTTCCCCTGGTTATTGTACAGGGAATAAACTACAGAAGAAAAATAGAAGTCTATGAGATACAGCATAAGGTTCTTGCAATGGCCAAGATGAAAATCATTGGTGATTTGGACCAGGGTGGCAGCAGGGGACTTGTTAAGGAATGGTCATATCTGAACATAGGTTTTTAAGACAAGTTTGATACCATATTAAGTATGGACATGGTAGGAAAATAAGAATTAATAATGACTCAGTTTCAGATAGAAAAACCTTTTATAGAGGGGGTTTGGGTAGGAATAGCCTGAAGCTCAACCTTACCATATTATAGTAGAGATATTATCAGCTACTGATGGGATGAAGGCAATTAGATAAATGTTTGTAAAGTTCAAAAAATCCACATATAAGGTATTGCATTGATTAAAATACTTAAGGACACAATCCAACAATAAAGACAATACATGTTTCAGTTCTTGCTAAAACATAATTTGGTATTCAATAATTCATTTTATCCTAAACAGTTCAACCTGACGTCACACTGCTGTGTGCTGCCTCAGTGTAGAATAGATACTGTTTTCAGGGATCTAAGTAGACCCCTGACCTCACAGTGGTTCAGCCTTCTGACAATGCTGAGGCCTAAAGACCCATGCAGATCGTTTGTCTGTGTTTATGAGATATGCAAAATAAATTCTGTACAAAGCAACCCAGAAAATACACTCAAATTCAGCTAATTATTTAGTGAATATTTATAAGAATATAAAATTAACACTGTGGTTCAGATACTTAATGTATTAATGAAAGAGCTTAGGGTTTGGATGAACATGCTTTCCAGGAGTGATTTAGAGTTTTAAAACTTGCTAAGAATGTGTTACCAATGTTCCATTCTCCAGTGACCCCCATACCTTGGATAACTTGCAAGGCCAATGGAGAAGTCAATGGCCAAATTCTTGTTTTCCATTAGGGTCAGGATCTGTGTCCTTAGAACTTGCTGTGGCTCCTAGTTTATAGCAAGTGTAAGTGGACTCTTCTCACTTTAATTGAATAACGCAGTGTTATTTAAAAGTTAATTCTTATTCTTTGTTTGGATGATAGTTCAAGAAAAAAGTTAATAATTTATTTAATTGTTTAATAAATTAATTATTAAAAGATTAAAAATCAACAGAAATTTCAAACAGAACATGATTAACTATGATATTATGAAATTACAAGTATATGTAGTAAGGTCATCATTAAATTAGTTCTTTTACTAATAGTTGATATAATAGCCTACTTTAGGGAAATCTTTTTAGAATACACTTCTGTAATTCAACTACATTTTTCCTTCCATCTCTCATATACAATAAATTTTAGATTTTCTCATATTTGTACTTTTATTGGTCATTGACAACTCGCTAGGTTAGACATATGACATTGTGTTTTCAAACAGATATGCCATATACATACAAAACCATAAGGATGCCAAAATTATCTTCCATTTAAAACTTGAGAGTCGCTATATCATTACCTAACTCATGAGTTTTCAGGATAACATCTGAACCAGTCCCAAAACTGTCTTCTCTCACTAAAACCAAATGGTTTTCCTCCTTTTGAAAGTATGTTTAGTATATCTTAAGCATTTTCAGCACAACACCATATTGGTGTTATTTCTACCACATTTTTGTATGTGGACCAAAGAAATTTTGCTCCTTACTGTGTATCATTACTCTTATATACCTAGTTCAGATACACAAAAATCACATTTAACTCTCAGCTTCAAGGGGTTTATTCATGGATTTCAACTCACTTCAACTTACGTGTACATCCCCTAATCATCAATACCTCTGCCTTGAGTCCCTCTACTCTATGTGATGGTTACTTAGCAACAATGTTATATATCTATCATACATATATATACATACATATGCATGTATGTATGTAACAACAACTAATGATAAAAGAGGCCATAAATTTGAAAAAGACCAAGAAAAGGTATATGGGAGAGTTTAGGAGAAGAAAAGGAATGTGGGAAATATGCAATTATAATCTCAAAAATAAAAAAGATAATTTAAAAGATTTATCTTTTTATCTTTTACACATTTTGAAATATAGTTTTAATTAAAATATAATTTCATTAATCAAACTCAGGGCTGAAATCAACCAAATAGAAACAGAAAGAACAATACAAAATATCAATAAAACCAGGAGTTGGTTCTTTGAGAAAATCAACAAGATAGATAAACCCTTAGCCAGATTAACCAGAGGGCACAGAGACAGTATCCAAATTAATAAAATCAGAACTGAAAAGGGAGACATAACAACAGAAACTGAAGAAATTCAAAAAATCATCAGATCCTACTACAAAGGCCTATACTCAACAAAACTGGAAAACCTGGATGAAATGGACAAAAAAAAAAAAAATGCAACAGAATGTTTTTCACACTCCCCAACCCCCACCAAAGAAACTAAAGTCCTGGTACTCAAGACAACAGATGAAACTGAATAGATCATACAAAGTTAGAAGGGGGAAAAAGACCAGTCCAGAGGGACCCAGCACAGTCAAACTCACAGGAGAAGAAACCAGACTGTGTCATGAGGAGAAAGAGGGGACTCATGGGGACAAGTGGGGATGTGGCGGACAATGCTCATGGTTTCTCTGTTGCTGCAGAATGGTAAATACACACAAAACCACTGAGCTGCTTCCTTTGAAAATAGGAGGTTGTAGGTATTTATTGGATTTATTTGTTTTTATTTGAAAATGAAAACAGAAAGACCTCTAAATACTGGGATACAAAGACTCCTAGGTTAGACTGAAAAACAGGAAGAGTCAAAAAAATAGGGTGAAATGTGAATTTGTACTTCTAACTGCTCATATACATTAAAATTTCTAAGAAAGTACAAAAAAAATATAATTTCATTACTTCCTTCCTTCCTCTCTTCCCTCCAGCTTGATGTTTATTGTATTGTTTGATTACTCACTTTATATTTGATCACATGGACATTTTGAAACTATAGTTATCAATTCTTCCATCCACCCTCTTAAAAGGAAATGCAATTGCTTGAGCCTACTCAGTTTTGAAAGAAGCTTTTGGGGCTGGAGAGATGGTTCAGTGGGTTAAGAGCACTGTCTGCTCCTCCAAAAGACCAGAGTTCAATTCCCAGCATCCACATGGCAGCGCACAACTGTTTGCAACTCCAGTTCCAAGGGATCTGACACCCACACAACAATACACATAAAAAAATAAACAAACCATTAGAAAGAAGCTTTCCAAAGTTGCACGTACAACATTTCAGAACTAAGTTAAAAGGGGTTTAAACACAAGATCTGTGACCACCCTTAGCCACCTTCTGTTACCCTGATTCTCTGGCATCACAACATTAATGCTTACTGCATTGGGGTTTGCCCAATCAATCTTCTACACCTATTTCTTGAATAACCAGCTATATTTTTAAAGTAGTAAGCAACTTTTCTTTAGACACTAACAAGTCTAAGCATACATCTTAGATGAGGGACCACAATTATCATGGCAAAGTAGAGAGTCTGAGTACATTAGCTCCTTTCTGGAAAGCTGATTTCCACTCCTGTCCAGCAATCAGGACAAGTGCTGGAGGACAAGGGAGAGAGAGATGGGAGGGTCTTCATAATGACTGGTGAGTTCTATCTTCAGAAGACCTGGAAGTAGAATGTGTACACTTGGGTCAGTAGTCCTTTCTTGACTTTTCTTGTCCTATTATTAAATATTAGACTGGGAAGCTCGAATCGACAGCCATGGACGGGTCTTTTATGTGGACCATGTAAATCGCACAACCACCTGGCAGCGACCAACAATGGCCCCTACCCCAGATGGAATGATCAGATCCGGGTCTATCCACCAGATGGAGCAGCTTAACAGAAGGTTGGTGATTGGTTCAGTATGAGATCCTATAAGCCAGATAAGGATAGAGAGACATCCTTCTTCTGATTTCCTGCTCACTATAAGGAAACTGAATGAAATTAATTGTGTTAAGCAAGCTGTTCCCAGTATTTTGAAGGCTGGGTTTGGAAGTTAGTGACAGAAAGCACATTAAGCTTGAATGACATTTAAAGATAGTGTTCCTCTAACTGTCTTACTGGTACAAGCCAGAAATCAGAAACTCTTTAATTACGGCCCCATCTCCCATGGAATTACGGAGGATCTGAGGATCCCTACGTGAGCATATTTTGGAAGATTAGTTCATGTCCCATCATGAGATGTTTCCAAAGATACAAAACTCAAAATAGTTAACATTCCAAGGAAGTTTTCATAAGTTTTAAAGAAAACTTGCCCCATAGATTATGGTAGACTTAGTCCTTGTCTTATCTCCACTGTACACCCATCACCATGGAGCTCACCCTCCTCTCTCGGGCACTGTACACCCATCATCACTGGGCTCACTCTCCTCTCTCGGGCACTGTACATCCATCACTGTGGAGTTTTTCCTCATCTCATAGTCATTGTCCACCCATAAGCACTAATTCTTCAAAAGTCTTTATCCTTGAAAAAATAAATGCTTAAAAATATTTGTGAAATAGGCTATGCTGCCTCACTTGTGTACTTTCAGCTATTTGGGATGCTGAGGTAGGAGGATCTCAAGTTCAAGGCCAGCTTGGATAACATGTCAAGATCCTATAAGAAAGAGAAATTTTCCAGCATCATTTTGGTTAGAAACTATACCGTCACTCTCAAATATGCACAAATACAATTGGTGTCTGGGTTGCAACTGTGGTGCTGCATCACTTAGACTTCAAGACAACAACATGTCTATTTTCTCGTTCTTTAAAGACAAAGTGAACAAGGTTTAGGATACCTTTTCTTACTAGAAGTGTAGGCACTGGGTTCATTTCAGTTGACATTTTTCAAGTGCTAAGATAAAAAAAAAGGTTGAGGGGACTGAAAAGAATAAAAATCTAGGTTGAGGATATTTATTGATAGCAACACCTTCAATATTTAACTGAATCTGTCTTTTTCTGGATATTTTATTTATTTACATTTCAGATGTTATCCCTTTCCCCATTCCCCCCCTCAAGAAAACACCTACCCCATCCCCCCTCCTCTTGCTTCTATGAATGTGTGCTCCCCACCCAGCCAGCCACTCCCATCTCCCTGCCCTCAAAATTCCCCCACACTAGGGCATCCAGCCTTCCTGGGACACTCCACTGTAGCAATAATTTAATACACTTAACGTCTTATGTTATTAAAAGTTCTGTTTATTGTTTTGTGGTTTTTTTCATTTGAAGATCAGGGCCATTTTAAATATTAAAAATGTCTTATATTAGAGCATTCCTTTGTGGTCCTGTTCCAAAAATAGCACCAGGGAAAGAAATAGAGTTAGGATATTTGTTATCAATGTCTAATTTTTTTTTTAAGAATGTGGCTTTATAGATTTCACTAGGCCAAAAATCGCTTTACTTCCATTTTGTCTTCTGGTCTATGTTTGGTGATTAGGAGATATTTCTGTATTTCTGACACTTGGTATGGCTTATATTTTATTTCTTAGAGAATCAACTTTTTGCCATAATCTTTTCTTTAATAATTATAATTAATTCTTATTGTAATTAATGTATAGAATTTTCTGTCCTGCAGCTTGTTTGGTTGGGTTGGAGTGGTTTGGGAAGGCTTTTTTTCTAGTTTGTATGATTATTTACATGCAAGCATGGGTGATTAAAATTGTATTATTTCAACTAACTTTATTACCAAGTTCCATGAGTCTTTTGTATATTTTTAGCTCCAAACATAACAAGTACAGGAGGATATTAACAGGAAATTCCTGATGAAATGAAAAAGGGAAGGCTTTTAGAGACTTTCTGAGTCTGTGACATCTGTGATCTGGGTTTCCTCAGGCCTTCTGAGTTCCATCACAAAACTGTCACAGTGCTACTGTCCTATTAGGGGAGAGGACTTTGATTCAACATCATAAGAGGAGAGGTGGAGAGCATGTGGCTCTAAAAAGATTGTTTAGCCATCTGGGAAAATCATGATCTCCAATATATTAGGCAATTGTCCAATAGCAGCGTCTGCAGTCTTTAACAACGCTCTGCCCCCATTAAAGTCAGAGATCCAAGCAGCTTCTCATTGGTGGTTGTAGTCGCCTGCCCTGGCTGCATTCCTTGTGTTCCAGCAAGAGCACAATGGGCCATCTTTCACTTTCCCATAACCTCCACATAAGCATGTAATGCTACAGTCACTGAGTGGATTCCACACTTTGCTATAAACGGCCCTCTGACAATGTCCTCCAGCAACTGCTGCTGGCAAAAGTGTCTTCTGACAGGTACGCAGAAGTGAATGATGGATAACAAAATAAACATAGAGCCTTTAGACCATTGAATCTCAAACCCTGATATACCGAACTGTAGCTAGACAGCTGCTTAGAAACACAGGTTTCAATTTGCTTCAGTTGATGTAATTTAAGAGGTTCTCTTAAGGGGAGTTGGAGACCATAGTGGGAAAACTTTGCTCCTTAAGGTCAGGGGAAAAATTAGGGCCCTGATTCCTTCAGTCTGCTGCAGAAGAATGAACCTGAACAAGACTAAGTGCACTCCCCGCCTGATTTTGAGTTAAGATTTGGAGACTTGATTGTTTGAGCTCCTTCCTCCATCCTCTACCTCTTCTGCAATACCCCTCCCCATCTGCTTCCTGAACATAAAGCTCATACAAGCCATACTTTGCCATAACCGGCAGGGGCTTATGGGATTTCAAAACTTCATTTCCAGATCTAACCAACATCTCCCCTCCTCTACCCACCACCCTCTAGGATACAGTCTGCAAGTCCTAAGAAATAGATTTGTCTAGCTACCTAGTCAAACACTGTGGAGATAGGTGTCTCATAGTTGTCTGGTTAATTGTACTGCCAGTCTTACTGGAATTGTAGACACTTCTGATTCCAAGACATTTTTTTACAATTTTTTCCAACTGCCTTATTCAAAGCATTACCAAACATAAATTGGTTATGGTCTTTCCATTTTCTGATGCACAGGTATCAAAACATCCAGAGAACTATTGCAACAGAGAGACCTGAAGAAGATTCTGGCAACCAAAGCTGTGAGCAAATACCAGATGGAGGAGGAGGAGGTGGAGGGAGTGACTCAGAAGCAGAATCTTCCCAATCAAGCTTAGGTATTGGAGCAGGGGACCCAGAGCACTAGAGATGGCATGTAATAATGGCTGTGACAGAGTGTGCAAGTCCTTACCCTGCCTCATGAGATAGCCACATGACCCACAGATAAGAGAGCAGCATAATATGGGAGAACAAGATGGAGGGATTAGAGGCCTGAATAAAGGAAATGACAAAATTTCCCATCAGGAATCTTAGAAGACATAAACTCCTGTGTGGTTAAGTAATGTTTATCTGTTGGTGTCCTAAGGATTTGTCACTTATAGATAAACCATGACAAATGTTCACAATCTATTTCAAGTGACTCTTGGGCATCTCAGATAAAATTCAGCTTAACCAAAGAGGAACCCGGACACAAAGAGGTTTCTAGTAAGTTTCTTGTTCACAAAGCCCAAGAGCATATTATTTTTGCCATGCGTCAAGCCTTATTTTCCTGAGATTTTAATTCTTGAAATCTAACCAAATTGAGATGCCAATAATGATATTTAAAAAGCATGAGATTGGCTTCTACTTTCTGTATCTGTAGCAACATATTCAAGTACCACAGTGAAATCCCAGTAACCCATTTCCATTTGAATTGCGTTGGTGCTATATTTGCTCCCCCCAAAAAAGGCCCAGATTCAGTCTAGGCAAGCAGATATTGTAATTCTTATTCTATCAGATCTCAACAATTTGTGGCAACATAGATATCAGACATACTTATTTGATTTCTTTTACACATTTACACAATGAATTTTAGTCATTTTAACTTAAATCTCCTGCCCAACTCTCTTTCTCTTCCCACCCCCTCTCTCTTTCTCTCTCTCCCTCTCTCAATAGATAGATAGATAGATAGATAGATAGATAGATAGATAGATAGATAGATAGATAATTTCTCTCTCACCAGAAAGAACTCTTTATAGTAGGTCCCCATCCTATTTTCATATAATATATGTGTGTGTGGTCCACTGAGTTTCTTGTCTAATGGTAGGTGGGAGAATGTTTCCTAGAGCAGGAATAAGTTATCAGTGGATACATAAGTAAAGAAAATGACATAAAACCCACTTCCCCAGTGGGATCCTCCCTCACCCATGATGACCTGTGGATGGACCCAATCTTTAGTAAGTCTTGTGTAGACAACCACAGCTGCAATAAACTTAAATATATAATGGCCATGCCATAACTTGAAGATGTCTTTCAGTTGGCCATCCCCCTACCTACTGGCTTCTTCTTAAATGCACACACACATTTCAATCAATAATTTTAACTGTGTCCATGCTGCTTTTTCTATCAGATGTACTAATAACCCTGGTTAGGTTTTTTTTGTTACTATTTCTTTGTTCAGTCTTCTAAAAGACACGTAGTACAACAATCAAGTAATTGGAAAGAGGATAAGAAAATTTGCATAGGATTATTTCTGGATTTAGTGTTGGATCACTTGTAATTTATTACATAATAAAAGCCTTGGTTTTAGTAGATAAAGCTCACAACTGCATTTGCCCTTCAGATCTGCAGGTGAGTAATGTAAGCTGACTAAAGCACGTTGCTTAGGATGCTGCTGAACTCCTAGTCATATTTAGTCACCTGTGTCACCTTTAGTCACCTATGTATAGCTGTGTGGTGGTTGGTCTGAGATGGCCTCAGTTTGGAAGCTTTTCCTTCTGGCTTTTTCCCTTAGTGGACCTGGGGACAGAAAAGAGACAGAGACACAAGTGCTAGGGACCCCGTCTCAGAATTCACATGTTGCTTCTACCTTATGGTACCAGATGAAACAAAGTACAAGGCAAGTCCAATTCAACCAGAGAGGAGCTTGAAAGTCCACAAGCAGAGACATGTTTATAGGAGGGGGAAAGCTTCTGTAAACTGTCTTAATTACAGGTAACATTTGTAATAAAACAAGAAAGACAAAGGGAAGAGACTTGAGGGGACTTGAACATAGTTGAAATTATACAAGAACATTATTAAGAAATAATGATTCCTAACTTTTAAAAACGAGAGAGAGAGAGAGAGAGAGAGGGAGAGAGAGAGAGAGAGAGAGAGAATCTGCAGTGGAGGTGAAGAGTTGGCAAAGAGCAAAGAGAAAGAGCCCCATGAGGCAGAAGTCGGGGGCCCCCCCCGGGGGGGGGGGGTCTATTTCTCTACGGCCCTCTCTGGGCGCATCATGGTTTGTCTATTTTTATTTTCAACTTTGACATTAAAAATAGGTGATTTTTTAAAATATATATATATATAAATCAAATTAAATCATGTTTATGTGCCCTGGTTAAAAAAAAATTCAGAATATTTAGTATGCCAACATGATGCCACAAAAGGAAAATTCTCAAGTTCATGCATAAAATTATTTAAAATATTTAAATAAAAATTTTTAAATCAGGTATGATACCACATGATTTTACTTCCAACACTTAGGGAACAGAGACTAGAAGATCATGAGTTTAAACTTAGGTTACACTATATTGTGAAACTGCTTTTAAAAAAAAACAAATGTCATTACCTCTAGGCTATAAGATGTAAATGGAAGGTGCACACATTTTATGTTCAGGCTTGTGTCTCATCTATAAAATACCTCATTCTGTACATGCATATGTTCTAGAATTAGGAAAAAATCTGAAGCTCTTTTGGTATCAAGCATTTTAGACAAGAAACACTTGACATTCTTTACATGGTCACGTGACTATGGAAAGGCAAGTGTCTGCCGTGTGAGCGGGAGTCTGCTCTGCTGTGGGAAGAGATGTGCTCCATGTGGAAGGACTTTTCTCACAGCATATTCCATTACTTTGCTTCACGTTTCTAGATCTGAGGAGAGAAGGGTCACTTTCTCCTGTCAACTCACAGAAGGTCACTTTGCTGCTGCAGTCTCCAGCGGTCAAGTTCATCACCAACCCTGAGTTCTTCACTGTGCTGCATGCCAATTATGTGAGTGCTCCCAAAACAGGCAGGATGGGCTGGCTCCCTGGAAACCCAAGAAGAGCTTTAGTAGTCATTTCATAAGATCAAGTGGTTACAATCTGACTCAGTGAGCTAGGGGAAAGAAGGAATTCTTTATTTATTTTATCTTTTGAGATTATAATTACATCATTTCCTCTTCCCCTTTCTCTTTCTTTCTTCCAAATTTTCTCATATGCCCTTCCATTTACTTTTTCAAATGTATGACCCATTTTTTTCATTAATGGTTTTGTGAGTGTCTGTGTGTGTGTGTGTGTGTGTGTGTGTGTCTGTGTGTGTGTCTGTGTGTGTGTGTGTGTGTGCAACTCAGATCATACTTTTCCATGTGAATCTCCCAATAAAGAAGAAAGGATTAAGAACCTCTATTGCCTTCTGTTGTAGAAATTACTTAATCCTGGCCTGGGGTTTCTACCTGGCCTTGATCATTCAGTTCCCAGATAAAAGACACACGTAACCTTTATATTTACAATAATCCTAAGTGTCAGCAGATGTCTGTTTTGTGGAGACACATGTGTAAGACTGTCAATCTAATGTGACAGGACAGAGTTCAAATTGAGATAGAGCAGAGTGCCTGGGCGACATGATACATGAGGCAAAGGCTGAATTGAGTCTTGGAGGTTTAAAGAGAATGGAAAGAAGCCCAAGCAAATGGAGCAGTGTATTAAGAAGGATGCAGCAGCCAGGACTACAAAGGGGCTTCACTGTGGATGGCAGACATGGAAGAAATGATGAAGCCTCAGCACCCTGGCAAACAGCTCTACTCTATTCAGTTGGCAACAGAAGCCCATGGTGCTCTGGGAGACCAGCTTTGATGACTAGGTAGTCTGATGAAGCATTTCTCTGGCAGAGTCTCAGAGAAGTACTGAGAGTCCAAGACAAAAGGCTAAATCAACCAATCAAGCAAAAAATGACTAAATCCCCAAGCTCAATGAGGTGAAGAAAGAGTAGGGAGAAATGGCTTAGTTCTGGGAGAATGCTGAGAAAACAGCTAATGCTGTTGAATCTCCTATGGCCGACTGATGAATAACAGATGAAGACTCAAGAAATACTGGGTGGTTCTATTTGGGTACCAGTGTTAGTGGTGACTGTGAGGTAGGTGCAGTGATTGGATGCAAGGACAGAGGCTGTGGCTAGGAGAGAAGGAAATGAGGGTTTAGGCAGAGCAAATCCCCAATGAGGTAGTGGGGAATCGTAAAGGATAACAAGTATGCAAGTATGCATATATACTCTGCTCTATTTACTGGGCTCCGTGTGGGCCTTGAGAATGTGGGGAACACTAGACTGACCTTCTTTAGCCTCCTACAGTGTTGTTTCATCACTTATGGGTGCATGTGAGTGCTCACCCTACACCAACCAGGTAGCTTCTTCAAGCACTTTGGTGCCTATGTAACATAAAATTATAATTTGACTAACTTAACAAGTCTTAAAACAGCCTTTTTTTTCTCACCCCCTCACCCAAAGATGTCATATCAATTCACTAGAATGATAGGATTCTGAAGTCCAACTTTAACTACAACTACTATCATGGGTTAGATAGATTTGAAAAAAAATCAAAAGCGTAGTCCTACAGTCAGAGGAAATGGGAAGGAGAAGAGCTATGTTCAGAGACACGCAGTGAGGTCTAAGAGAGCCCAAGTGTAACTAACACTAGGAAGAAGACCCTGAAGGTCAAGTAGAATCAGCCAGGCAGATAGGCCTAGAGGAATTGAGTGCAACTTTCCTTGTTGAGCATTGCTTCTAAAGCCTGCCTTTGGACTCATACCATGTTAAAGTCTTAAATGTGTTTACTCTTGTCTTTTCTAATGTCACATCCTCTTCCTTCATTTCCCCCAAACCATCTCAGAGTGCCTACAGGGTTTTTACAAGTAGCACTTGCCTGAAGCATATGATTTTGAAAGTCCGACGAGATGCTCGCAATTTTGAGCGCTACCAGCACAACCGGGACCTGGTGAACTTCATCAACATGTTTGCAGATACTCGGCTGGAACTGCCCCGGGGTTGGGAGATCAAAACTGATCATCAGGGAAAGGTGAGAACAATCAATATGCGGGGCTTTCAACAAACACCAAGGTTCCCCAATGCAGAAGATAAGGAAGAGAGTGAGGGGAAGACTGTGGGGAAGGGTAAGATTGGCCCCTTGGGAAGAAGGGAGGCAGTGATTTCCACAACAGGTTTCTTACTTATTCCACAAGGCATATACAATGCCTTATGAGATATTTAGCAGTCTTAGCTTCTTCATCCTAGAAGCCGAATTGTGCCACTGCTGTCTGAGGAACAAAATACTGCTTGGTCCAGGGCTACCATCCAACTTTACACCTTTATAATGTCCTTTGAGTGATTTTGTTCAATGGCCTGTGTCTTAGTTACTTTACTACGACAAAGTCAACTGTCCAAAAGAAAGTATTTAATTTGAGACTTATGGTTTCATGGTGTTAGAACCCATGATTATCCTGGCAGCAAACATGGCAGCAAGCATGGTGCTGGAGCAGTAGCTGAGAGTTCACATCCTGAGCAAGGCTAGTTACTGGGAATGACACAAGTCTTTTGCAACCTTTGGTCCTGCCTCCAGTAACACACCTCTTTCAAAAAGACCACACACCTCCTAATACTTCTGTATTTGTCACTATTCCGTTGCTGTGAAGAGACACCACGATGAAGGTAACTCTTATAAAGGAGAGCATTTAGTTGGGGGCTTGCTTTTCAGGGACTTAGTCCATGATCATCATGGCAGCAACAGGCATGAAGGTAGGTAGGCATGGTGCTGGGGAAGTAGCTGAGAGGTGGGGGGCCGGGGGTGGGTGCTGGTGTGAACTTTGAAACCTTAAAGCCTACCTCCAGTGACACACTTTCTCCAACAAGACCATAACAACTCCAACTAGGCCATACCTCCTAGTCCTCCTAGTCCTTCCTGTGGTGGTTTCAGTAAGAATGGCTCCCATAGGCTCATATCTGAATGCTTAGGAAGTGACATTAAGAAGTATGGAGTCTTGCTGGAGTAAATGGGGCCTTGTTGGGACAAGCTGAGCAATAAAAAAGCACAAAATGTACAGTTGGAGGAGAAAGGAGATGTCAGGAAGTGAAAACAGACTAAAGAAAAGCCTGATGCTAAGTGGAATGAAGGTAGTGGTGAGCTAAAAGCAAGACCCCACCCAGCTAAGCTTCCAACTTATAAAAAGGAATTAAAGAAAAGCTTATGGCCTAGCATGATGGTATACACCTTTACTTCCAGCACTCAGAAAGCAGGGACAGGCAGATCTCTGTTTTTGATGCCAGCATGATCTACAGAGCAAGTTCCAGACCAGCCAAACTTAGGAAGTGAAGGAAACCATCAAAAACAGAAAGCAGGTAAAAATGTATTTGATTAAGAGGCCCAGCTCAAGCAAGTCACAGAATGAGGCAGCATCAGCCATGTGGTTCTGGTTTTAAAGTCAAGGATATATAAAAGGGGTTATGGAATCTCCCTCTGCAACTTAGGAAAGCCATGGAGGCCAGACATGTGTCGAGGGTATCCTTGCATGGAGCCCCAGAGATGCCCTTGAGTGAAACTATGAAAGTAAAGCCTAAATTGTCTGGGATACCGAAATGCCAGAGTCATGGGATGCCTATCTAGGAAAGCTACGGACCAAGTTTTGAACCAGCCCAAAAGAGAGAAGTATGTGGCAGTCAGCAAAGCTGAGAGGAATTCGACATCAGACATGGAAATGCACAGCTTGCCCAACTGTTTCTTTGTTCTGTTTTGTTTGCCTTATTTCAGTCCAGTATTTCCTCACTATGCTCCCTTTTATAACAGTGGTATATATCCTGTGCTTTATATGTTGGAAGTATGTAATCTGTTTTTCAGTTTGATTTTATACGAAATTATAGTTTAGAGATTACTATGAGTCTCAGAAGAGACTTCGGACTCTGGACTTTTAAATAGATTTGAGACTGATAGACTATTTGACTTTTGAAGTTAGACTGAATGCATTTTGTACTCATATGCTACAAGCCTATGGGGGCCAGGGAGTGGAATGTGGTGGTTTTAATGAAAACAGCCCCACAGGCTCATAGGGAGTTGCATAATTTAAAGGGATTAGGACATGTGGCCTTGTTGAAGTGTATCACTGGAGGTGGGCTTTGAGGTTTCAGAAGCACAAGCCATACCCAGTAGCTCACTCTTTCTCCCTTATCCCTACCGATCCAGATGTAAAGCTCTTAGCCCTTCTAAAGCACCATGTTTGCCTGTGTGCTGCCATGCTTCCCTCTGTGATGATAATGAACTAATAAATCTCTGAACATGTAATTAAGCCATAATTAAATGTTTTCCTTTACAAGAGTTCCTATGGTCTTGGTGTCTCTTCACACCCATAAGGCATTGACTAAGACAGTTCTCAAATAGCACCTTAAATAAGGGATTCTTGTCTTCCAAACCATTCTATCAACTGAGACCAAGTATTCATACATATGAGTCTATGATAGTCATTCTCATAATTAGGTATTATGTTATGACCAATCAGCCCTTTCCACACATACCCCTAAGAGCCTTTATGTACCCTACCCCGGAACAATAAAGTAGAGCTGCCTCACTGAAGCAGTCTCCGGAAGTCCTTCTGTCATGCTCACGACCATCCAAACCCTGCTCACTGCTTCTGCTCACTCTACCTTCATGGGCCAGATGCCAATGACCCCCGCCCCAGGGAGAAGGGAGACCCACAATCTGTGTGTATATAGATAAATATTTAGAATGTAGTTAGGGATTATGATGCATTAGTAAAGTAGTAGTTGTAGCTTCTCCTCCTAAATATATGACTTTACTAGCCCTAGGTAGTTGGCTAAGTTTCCAACTCCATGCATGGTTTCTTTCTTGTTCAGTGTTAACATCTAACCAGGGAGCTATTGGTTACCTCCAAGGACACATGCCACTATTATGCGATGGCATTCTGGTCTTTCTGATTTATAAACATAACTAGGTAAGAAAATTGGTTGCTTCTTTCCTTTGGAAGCTTGCAAGACATCTTCTGATACCATGGAAAGTTAGTCCTCAGGGAGGAATCTTTCAGGTCAGTTCCAATTCAGAGCCCTCTAGGCCTTGTTTTTGAAGTGTATGGTATCTTCAACTATAGTGATTTACTTCGCCCCTCTTGCAAGGATGGGGTGAGAATAACCATGGGTAGTGGCAATCACCTGTCATGTTTTGGAAGTCTCTTGGAATACTCTGAGCAGCAACACTAAAGGGAGCATCTCATGTTTAGTGTTGGGGTTTTCATTAGATGGCATTTGGCTCTTGGAGGTGTTGTCATTCCAGATGTAAAATTTCTATTTAAACTACATATGTATATTTATTAACCTGCTTATGTATAGGGGAGGGTAAGTACTTTAGACGGTTAATAGTATGATTGATTATGACTTTTTCAACATCTTAGCTGTTGGTTTAGCGTTCTCCTTCCTTCTTCCTTATTTATCACCTTCCCTTTCACTCATAAGAGCCCACTTATTTTTTTAAATGCCCTCCATCAGATCATGTATACATTGCTATACTCCTTTCTATTGTTCCACCACTGCCCACCCTGGTGATGCTCCTTTTTTCTCTTTCTTTACCTTCTTCATTTCTGCAGTTACTTCAGGATATGTATCCACATCTAAAGATTTGGAGATAGGGGTCTCCAATGAGACAGAATGTGCACTGTTTATCTTTCTGGATCTGTGTTACCACATTTTCATCCTTTCTCTATAAGGCCCACCCCATAACTAATTAAGTAATGTAGTTTTCCCTTCATCTTTAACACATGCACTAAAATAATTATCCTTTTTCAATACAATATTGTGCTCCTAGAATGTAAGAATCTTTAATTCTTTGTGAAACCTGAAGGCCAAGAATAATGCCTAGCATTTAGCTAGCCCCCAATAAATCTATATAGGGATGAAAGACTTACATACAGAAGTTCCTGAAGTAGAAACAAGAATAAAAAGAACAGAGGAAATAATTGAATTTTAGATATTAACATCAATTAAAGAAGCAAATATCAAATATTAAAATTGAAACTCTGCTAATCTAAAATAAATGATTTATGTCTAGCATGATGGTGTGTCCCTATGATCTAATCAGTTAGATCATTAGTTAGAGAGAGTCTATGTAGTACATCCTGTCTAATAATAAATTGTCCAGGGTAGCAGACTCACTGAGCATTATTCTTGGTCTTTGAGGAGGTAAAAAACAAATTTAATTAAAATAAATTTTAAAATAAACATTATAAAATTATCTGTGATGTGATGATAAATCTGCACAAGATTTATTAAGGTAGATTGGTATAGATCAATAATCTTCAATATTTTTCTTTCATCTCAGTAGTCAACTCAACTTATAGGAATTTTTACTAAAAATGCAACATGCACAAATATAAAAAACATTTAATTTATGAACTTCTAAACATGTATTTGAATAATAAAATTTACTTTCAACATTTTTTGATTTAGCTGATACTTGTTTGCTTAAATTTTTGTATAAGCATTTCATAAATTTAATTTTTATCTACTCATGTTTCAGTCAAACTCAGATTATTATATTTTATAACACTCACATCATTTTTGAATCCTCACATTACTGATATTACTTAATTGGCTGCTTTATAAGATACTCCAGATGTGCTAATCTTTAACATACCATTTGATGAACCAAGGCATGTTTTGTATAGTATCTTATTTAAAACCTATTTTTCATTATTCTGGAAGCAGCATTGTATATCCATGCAAGGTACCTCCATTTCAAGGCTTTTTATTTATATCTTTAGTTAAATTGAAGACTAGTGGCTCTCTATAAGGCCACTTTCATACATTTGTACTTTTGATTAACCGACCCCATCTTCTATCCACATTAATCCCCAACTCTGCGCTTTCTAAAACCCTTAACCTCTAGTGTTCTCTAATTTCTTTCATATTACATATGCTCTGCCACCCCTTAATATGTCTCTTTTACTGGATTTCAGGACTGTTGATTTACATATGGATTTGTCAGATGTTCTTCATTTTTCTTAACACTTCCCCCATCTCTTCATTTCCCCATCCCTTATTTCCTCTCTGCTTAAATCTTTCTGTGAGTATTCACCTTCTCTACTGTTATCTTATTTATATTTTTCTCTCCCTCCTCCCTCAATGTATCTACTCCAATGGCCCCTTTCTTGTCTCCTGACATTCTCATCTATTCCAAAACAAATGACTCAAACTAGGTTCTGCATATGAGATAATTCATGTGGCATTATTATTTCATAGCACAGCTTATCCCAGTATAATTTTTCAATTTCCTCTATTAAACTACAAATTTCATGACTTCATTTTTCTTTATAGCTGAATGCAATCTCATTGTGTTTTGTTTGGCTGGTCTTTTTAACACTCTAGATGATTTCCAGAGTGACTACATGGATTGACACATGGACAAACAGAGCAAGAATTTGTTTTTTAACACCTCGATGTTAGCATTTGTTATCATTGTATTTCTTATAATAGCCATTTTGACTGGAGTGAAATAGAATATTAATCATTTTAATCTTCATCAACCTGGTAGTTGAGGATGCTGAGCGCTTTTTTAATGTGTTTACCAGACACTTGTATTTTTTTCTTTTGAAATCTTTCTGTTCAGTTCTATAGTGATTTTTAAATTAAATTAGTTTTTTCTTAGTATTTACTTCTTTGATTTCTTCATATATTCTAAAATCAGACCAGTTTCTCTCCTGCCCCATTATTTTTTAATTATCACACACACACACACACACACACACACACACACACACAGAGAGAGAGAGAGAGAGAGAGAGAGAGAGAGAGAGAGAGAGAGAGAGAGCGCTTGCTAGCTTCTGCTGCTTGTGCATTTAGGGATAATTGCTTGGGATTGGATAGCATATCAGTGAGCTCATTTCTGGAAAATATTGAGTTTCTCTCTCCAAGTAGCTATTAATTTCCTTGCTCTTCATCTAGAGGCAGGGCCATGTAAGATTTTCCCCATCTATGCTGGGATGTCAGGTAGTGTTGTTAATGTGAAGGTCTTCTTTAGACAGCCATATTTTTATATTTCATCGCTTCAGATATCCTGTCATATAGAGAACACACTATCTCACAGCAGGCATCAAGATCTGACTTTTACAAGCTTTCTTCTCCATCTTCCATGAAGTTCCCTGAACCTTAGGTATAGGGATTGTGCTGTAGAGATATCATTAAGGGTTCATATCCCAAGTCAGTTCTCTCTATATTTTAAGTAGTTGTGGCTTTCTGTAATTGTGTCCGTTTGCTGCAAAAGATGTTTCTTTGATGAAAGGTGAGGGATACACATATCTATGATATAAGAATAAGTACTTAGACCACAAGTAGAAAATTAGAAGTAGTATTTCTGTTCTAGGGTCCATGACCTCACCGACTATGGGTATTTGGCTAAGTTTTCAGTACCAGGCATGAATTCTCTCTCCTTGAGGGGGCCTGAAGTCCAATTAAATGGCTGTTGGCAACTCCCAAGGTTTAAATGCTTCTATTGTTGTCTTGGGATCATCTTGCTATTCTGGAGGCTCACAGTCATCCATAACTCCAGTTCTAAGGGATCCAACAGCTTTTTTTAACTCTATAGGCACCTGGCACACACACACACACACACACATATATGTGTGTGTGTGTGTGTGTGTGTGTATGTGTGTGTGTGTGTTTATGTATATATATGTAAAACATGTACACAAATGAAATAAAAATAAGTATTAAAAACCAAAATAATCAAAGAATAAGGGGTCATGAATTTAAGAGGGAGTGGGGAAACATGAAAAGAGTTGGAGAGGCAATGGGAGGGGTGGAAATTATGTAAATACAGTAATTATGTATAAATCTTCAAAAATAAAATGTTTAAATCCCCATTTATTCAATAACAATGATACATTTAGATGAAAAAAGTTTCTCATTGTTTCAAATTCTGTCACACTACTCTTTGAGATTCAGGCACAATAAGTCAGTGTTCCTAGGGATTCTCAGAAATCTCAAAATTAAACATACTTCTAACAATCTTTATACTCTGTAATTTGTATAATTAAAAGCCATGATTAATGAATAAAATTATTAATGTAGCACACTACATTTGTAGTACTTACAAGAAATTTTCTTTATTCAATGTCTTAAAGTTTTTATTGTAGAGATCTTTTGTTTGTTTTATTAGGTTTATTCTCAAGTATTTGTATTTGTCATAGTGAGTGCAGTGTGTATTATGAATGGTATTGTTTATCTGATTTATTTTTCAGTATAATTGTTATTGGCATATAAGAAAGCTATTATTTGGAAATTACTTTTGTTCCCATCATTTTGCTGAATGCATTTATCAGCTGTAAGAAGTTTTGGGTGAGTCGTTAGCATTGCTCATGTGTACAATCATATCTATGAATAGGAATACTTTGACTTATTTTCCTTTTTGTAACCCTTTCATTTTCTTCTTATGCATTATTTAGTTAATTTTCTAATGCTATATTGAAAAGGAGCAGAGAATCTGGCAACAAAGGGTACTGGATTATTATAAACCATCCAATTTAATTACCTGTTCATTAAATTTTTGTTAGAAGATTTTTTAATGACTTGGAGAAATGACCAGAAATTTTGAAATTTTCTTATAACAAAAGTATATCGTTTTATGTGTAGAGAACCCATAGATATTTTTATATGGCCATGAGAAAAAGAAAAGATTAGGGGAAAACTCAAAAACTATTTTTGTAGTTGTCTCTCTGCGCTATGATTTTGGGGAAACTTGGTTATTCTCTTCATTCAAGTACTGTTGAATGCCCATGTGTTTTTCCTCATCTATTAGATGAGTGTCAGGTAGGTTTAAAATTATATGGAAAATAAGGGGTCAAAATAAGTATGATGCCTATGATGGCCAGTGTTAATTGTCATCTTGACAGAAACTAGAAGCATCTAAGAGATGGTCTTTGAACACGTGCAGGACTTTCTCAATTACATTAATTGAGGTGGGAAGAGCCATACCCTGGTATGACCCTATTCTCTGGCCAGGATCCTGGGCTATATGGATGGAGAAGGGGAACTGAGGAGCAGCATGCATCCATTTGCTTTCTGGTTCCTAATTGTGGATGCAGCTGCTTCAAGCTCCTGTTGCCTTGACATTCCCATCATGATCAAGGTATCCTCTAACTGTCAGCCAGGACAAAGCCTCTCTCCCTTAAATTTCTTTTATTCAAGTATTTAAGCACAGCCACAGGAAATGAAACTAAGAAACTGAACCCCGTAAGAATCATAGAATATGAGCTCCACCTCTCACACTGTGTTGTCTTGCTGTCCATCTGCAGTCTTTCTTCGTGGACCACAACAGTCGAGCTACTACTTTCATTGATCCCCGAATCCCTCTTCAGAATGGCCGTCTTCCCAATCATCTGACCCACCGACAGCACCTCCAGAGGCTCCGGAGTTACAGTGCTGGAGAGGTATGTTCTCTCTGCCTTGAATCATTGTTTCCAAGTCTCGGCTCTTCTCTGGAGCCATGAAATTTTTCTTAATTTCTTAGTTTTCATGATCTAGAGGTGTATGTCCTGTGAGAGATGAAGGCATATTGATATTTTTGCAGTGGAAGAATGAATGATTATTGTGGGGTGCCCGATTAGCTGCCTTGATATATCTCAGGCTGTCTTCCTTCTGTTCTTTCTTTTAGTCAAGCCACCTTTACTAAAAATCTATCTGGTTTTAAGGAAACTCAATACATAATGTTAAGAGACCTCTATACAAACATAGGATATCAAAAGTATACTACTGCCGATCAGTAGCCTGAAAATGCTACTAAAAGGACAGAATTGGTGATGTTCTGTGTATGACTGTCTTAAAACCTTTCTTTTTTTTGTTTTGTTTTGTTTTGTTTTGTTTTGTATCGAGACAGGGTTTCTCTGTGTAGCCCTGGCTGTCCTGGAACTCACGCTGTAGACCAGGCTAGCCTGGAACTCAGAAATTCGCCTGCCTCTGCCTCCCGAGTGCTGGGATTAAAGGTGTGCACCACCACTGCCGAAAACCTTTCTTAAAAATGTTCTCTCCACAATCCCCATCAAAATTTCAACTCAATTCTTCATAAAGTTAGAAAGAGCAATTCTCAAATTCATTTAGAATAACAAAACACCCAGGATAGCGAAAACTATTCTCAATAATAAATGAACTTCAGGGAGAAATCACCATACCTGACCTCAAGTTATACTACAGAGCAATAGTGATTTAAAAACCAAAAACTAAATGGTATTGATACAGAGATAGGCAGGTAAATCAATGGAATAGAATTGAAGACCAAGAAATGAACCCAAACACCTATGTCACTTGATCTTTGACAAAGAAGCTAAAACCATCCAGTAGAAAAAAAAGACAACATTTTCAACAAATGGTGTTGGTTCAAAACTGGAGGACAGCACGTAGAAGAATGCAAATCGATGCATTCTTATCTCCCTGTACAAAGCTCAAGTCCAAGTGGATCAACGACCTCCACGTAAAACCAGATACACTGAAATTGACAGAAGAGAAAGTGGGGAAGTGTCTAAAACACATAGGCACAGGGAAAATTTTTCTGAAGAGAATACCAGTAGCTCATGCTCTAAGATCAATAATTGACAAATGAGACCTCATAGAATTGAAATGCTTTGTAAGGTAAAAGACACTGTCAATAGGACAAAACAGCAGTTCACAGATTGGGAAAAAATCTTTACCAACCTCACATCTGATAGAGGGCTAATATCCAAAATATAAATAACTCAAGAAGTTAGCCAGAGAACCAAATAACCCTATAAAAATGGGGTACAGAGATAAACAGAGAATTCTCAACTGAGACATATAAAATGGCTGAAAAGCACATAAAGAAATGTTCAACATTCTTATTCATCAGGGAAATGCAAATCAAAACAACCCTGAGATTCCACCTCACCGATGAGAATGTCAAAGACCAAAAACTCAGGTGACATCAGATCCTAGCGAGGATATGGAGAAAGAGGAACACTTCTCCATTGCTGGTGGGACTATAAGCTGGTAAAACCACTTTGGAAATCAATCTGGCATGTCCTGAGAAAATTGGAAATAGTTCTACTTGAAGACCCAGCTATACCACTACTGAGCATATACCTGAAAGATGCTCCAACACATAGCAAGGACACATGCTCTACTGTGTTTATAGCAGCCTTCTTTATAATAGTCAGATGCTAGAAACAACCCAGATGTTCCTCAACAAAAGAATGGATATAGAAAATGTGGTACATTTACACAATAGAGTATTACTCAGCTATTAAAAACAATGAATTCATGAAATTCTTAGGCAAATGGATGGAACTAGAAAATATCCTGAGTGAGGTAACCCAATCACAAAAGAACACACATGGTATGCACTCACTGATAATTGGATATTAGCCCAAAAGCTGACAATTCCCACAATACAATCCACAGACCATAGGGAGCTCAAGAAGAAATAAGACCAATGTACGGCCGTGTCTGACATCAATGGGAGGGGAGGCCATTGATCCTGTGGAGGTTTGATATCCCAACATAGGGGAATGCTGGAGTGGTGGGGTAGGAGTGGGTGGGTGGGTGGGTGGGGGGGTGGGGAACCCTCATAGAGGCAAAGGGTATGGGGGAGAGGGCAGATGTGGGACGGGGGTTTGTGGAGGGGTAACTAGGAAGGGGGATATCATTTGAGATGTAAATGAATGGAATGATTAATTTTTTAAAAAAATGTTCTCTCCGTAAGACCCTGGAGAGAACTTCAGTAATACAACCATGGACTAATAATTGACAGAGAACTGAAAAGAAAAAAATAAAACCATGCCCTGTAAATACTCTATCCCCATCCTATAGTCTCTTCCCTGGTTTTATCTTCTTTTCCCACTTATGATTACTTTCTGCTGAGCAATGAAAGTCTTCGGGCTTTTTGAAGGATCATATTCATTACCTTTCTAAATTCATTTGGCTTCTTAAACTTTTCAGTCTGAGTTAATTTTCCCAGTAAGCATGTGAGCTCAGAAGTAAGCACCATTTTTTTCTGAAGCGTACCTTCAACACTAATTCTCCATGGAGCCAAGGAGGACGCCCTTTCTGTTTAAAAGTCTTATTCATTTCAACATAATCCACCAAGTTACAATAACTTCCTTGGAAATGAGGCAAAAAGGATCTCCTAAAGTCATGTCCCCAAGTCTTCTGGAGCTCAAATTTCAGATGTATCTATTTCTATAATTTCTGTCTATAATTTATCACTTAATCCACACACATATGATCATCAAGAATTCTCTCATTACTACGTATAAACACACATTAATGTGAACTGGAATAATTACCTCCAAGGAAAAACCCATACCATTTCAGTTTCAGAAAAATTTTTTACATGTTTATTAATTGGTGAAGAAAATACGGAGACTGATACTGGCTAATCTACTCAGCAAACATTATTCACTGCTGTAAGTTGTGTCCACTTGCTTGAGACTAAAGTGAACTGCAACAGTTCCAGCTCTGAAGGCTGGTTTCTAACTACACCAGCTGAGCAGAGTTGAGTATGGAAGTATGACTTAGTTATTCTATGAGGGACAGGTCCTTTGTGACTAGAATTTAATCCCCTTTTAAGTATTGTAACTAGGTTCTTTTCAAAATTGTTAAATATATTAAGGCTTAATTATCATACTTTTCAAGTTTTATAGTCTAGCTGATATATCTTACAAACATTTCAAAGTGGAAAATCTATACTGTCTTGTTTCTGTTTGTTTGGTTGGTTGGTTAGTTGGTTGGTTGCTTAGTTGCTTGGTTGGTTGGTTGATTTGCTTTGATTTTGAGACAGGGTCTCACCCAAGTAACCTGAACTGGTTGAGAACTAGGCTAGCCTAAAACTTCTTATTCCCTGATTTTATTTCCAGGCATCTAAGATTACAACCATGTACCACAATGCTGGGCTCTAAGGTCTTAAGAGACAAAATGTATATGGACTCATCATAGAAAAATTACTACATGTTTTAGATCTTAGGAGCTTGATTAATTTTCAAAACTGACCTATGTTTCAATTACTCATCATAAAATATGTATGTTAAGCTAAACAAAGATATCACAGATTTTGCAGTCTGGTAGTAGGGTTTAATATAAATAAACACTTTACAGTCAAGCATTAGTTAGAATCCCAGTTCTCTCTCCTATAATTGAAAACATTGGTTAAAATTATATTTTGAAACTCTAGATTTTATATGTGTAAATTGGATATAATAATTTTATTTGGTAAAAAATGTGATAATAAAGATACAATATAGAAAGAAACCAGAGCAGTCATTGGAATAACAGATGCTAAACCTAGAGAGCCATTTGAGGATGGTGAACACTACCTAAAGAGCAGGTACATCCCTCATCAGTACTGAAGTTCAATACCGACTGTCTCAAAAGAAAGCCATAGATTTATATTTCTACTAATGCTTATATAGAATTTATTTCTCTAGTGTTTCTGGTCAGTGCACTGATTAGTGTTCATAACGTTTGGCCCAATCATTTTTACAAAATGACACACCCAACATTCCACTTACTCAATTTTTAAAATTTGCTTGGTTTTTTGTCACTTTAAAGATTTTAACTTTGTTTTCTGAATCTAGGTGATACCAAGATATTTTAACTTTCATGCAGAAAAGAAAATGGTCTTCAAGGGAAATCTGTAATTGATGGCAGATTTCCAATCCTACACTTTTATTTTAAATTAGGCCTCAGAAGTCTCTAGAAACAGAGGAGCATCTTTGCTGGCCAGGCCAGGGCACAGCCTAATAGCTGCTATTCGAAGCCAACATCAACATGAGTCCTTGCCACTGGGTATGTATTCTTAGTCATTGAGCCTCCAGCAACCCAATGCTTAAAATACTGCTCTTTCCTGTGAACCCTTCAACAGTCCCACATATTCATTCTCTTCTTTTCTTTTGAGACAGGTTCTCACAGAGTACATTTAGATCTCCTGCCACACTTTATGTAGGCTAAGCTATGTACGAATCTTTCTGCCCTATTTTCTGTTGTGTATAGTGAGCCCTGAGAGGAAGAAGTACGCTACAGTGGTCCCATGTAGGGCTATGTACTCCACAGTCACCTACTCTCTACATTTTGACCAGTTGTGAGTCCCTGCAGGAACCACTATCCACTGAACAAAGATTCTCTGATGAGCATCGCAAGTTGTACTCCTCTGTGGGTACAAAGATAAATATAAAAATGGCAGTCTGAAACTTTGCCTATTTATCAGCATAATAATGGTAGGTTCTCCCCTAAGCCTATGACCTCCTCAGTCATAGTTCTTTATCAGGTTTAGAGTACCAGACTTGGGATCTTTCCTGCAGAGCAGATCCTAAATCAGTTTTTAAAAGGGTCGGTTACCCTCTGTCTCATTAATGCCATCACTGCACCAATGGGAATTCTTGATTGACAGCTGGATAAGATGGTTGTTCTTCATAGTCTTTAGTCTATGATTCTCTTTCCACGTGTGTAGGATGAAAGCTTGCACAGTCATTATTCCCAATTTCAACTATTTAATCTCAAAGCACTTGTATTAAGCAGAATGAGGTGAGAATCTAAATAATGTATATTTTCATTCCTGTGACTGGAAAGTCAACAAAAAGCCATGGCAGCAAGGGTCCAACACTCAGAAAAGGATTTCCTTGAGCTCACAAAAAGATCTTTTTGTCATAATAACTTTGGGAAAGAACCGTTAAGTACAGATGTTACTGCAGGAGAGCTGTGCAGATCTTCACCTTCCCTCTAATAGATGAAGTAGCCCTGTCCTGTCATTCACAGATGGCCGCTCAGGTCCAGTTCACTTTCACTCATGTCCTTTAAGATACTAATGCTATTGTGTCCTGTTTCTATACTGGAGCTTGGCTTACTTAAGAGTACTTCAAATGATTACATTATTGCCTATTATCGAGTGGGCATTTTATGATCATCTTCCTCACTGTTCTGCATTTTTTTTTCTGTTTCAGCATACAATGACAAGATTGTGGCATTTCTTCGCCAGCCAAACATTTTTGAAATGCTGCAAGAACGTCAGCCAAGCTTGGCAAGAAACCATACACTCAGGTAGGGTTCATCTCCCAACCCTAGAGTACTTGATCCTTCCAGGTTTTCTTCCAGGTTGGAAAGCAACACTATGGAGAGGAGCCAGTGAGGCTTGTGACACCTTCATCCCTGTGTATAAGTTTTAGGTTGAGTTCTAAAAGAGGAAGGGTCCAGTGTTCTGGAAAGTTGCTCAGAGAAGGTAATCCTATCAAATTTCACAATGTTAAAATTATTTCCACTGACTTGAAGGAAAGCAGACAAGAAACAACATAGTTTTTATAAACAATACTTATATAAAGCACAATCTAAATTATTTTTAGCTTTGAAATATAATTCTTTCATTGCTAAAACAATTAGATGACAACCTTCAAAAATAAGCAAACACAAAGTATTATGTGTAACTACTTAAATCCAAGTATATGGGAGTCATGTTAGATATTTTTACTCCTCTTTCTATTTTAGTTATCTTATTTATTTACATTCCAAATGTTGTTCCCCGCCCCCACCTTCCCGGTCACTCCTCCAAAAACTCTCCACCCCATCCCCCATCCCCTTTGCCTCTGAGAGGGTGCTCCCCCACCCACCCCAATCATTCTCCTCATATTCTTTTCCCTGGAGTTTCAAGTCTTTACAGGATTAGACACAAACTCTCCCACTAAGGTCAGACAAGGCAGTCCTCTGCTACATATGTGCCTGGGGCCACGCACCAGCCCATGTATGCACTTTGGTTGGTGGCTTAGTCTCTGGAAGCTCCTAGGGGTCTGGTTAGTTCATACTGTTGGTCTTCCTATGGAGTTGCCATCCCCTTCAGCTCCTTCAATCCTTCTCCAAACTCTTCCATAGGATCCCAGACTTCAGTCTAATGGTTGACTGTAAGTATCTGCATTTGTCTCTATCACCTACTGGTAGAACCTCTCGGAGAACAGCTATTCTAGGCTTCTGTCCTCTGCCATCCTTGTGGTTGAATTTATCTTGATTTTTCAGAAGTTTTTGCCTTCTAGCTGAAGAAAGTAAGTCTTTACAATGCAATAAGGGCCTTCCATCTTTCACAGCATTCTCAAAGATAATATTTGGGTTATATGGCAGGAAGAGATTTTAATATAATTACATCATTTTTCTCTTCCACTTGCTCTCTTTAACATACCCTTTCTTGCTTTTTATACACACACACACACACACACACACATACACACAACCTGTTTGGTCTGTACAGTGTTACTTGTGTATATGTTCAGGGTTGACGGTTTGGCACTGAATAACCACCTGCTTCTCTTCCCTGTAGAATAGCACTTTTCCTGCCCTAAGCATCCCTTAGTTACCTGTAGGTCTTTATCTTGAGGCAGTGATATAATCTCTTTTTAGCTAATGTCTAGGCAGTCATCTTGGTGAGACTTTATGGATATGGCTTCTAACAATCCAAAAAGACTCTTACAGCAATTTTACATCAATCTCCCTGTTCCTCTGGCTCCAACAATCTTTTCACCCACTCTTCTGCAATGATCTCTGAGCCTTAGTTACAAGGAGTTGTTGTATTGTAAATGTATCAGTTGGGACTGAGCTCTAAAGATCTGAATTTTGGTTGGTTGTGATTTTCTGTAATAGTTTCTGCCTGTTGCAAAGAGAAGTTGCTTTGATGAGAGGTGAGGACTGCATTTATCTGTGGTATAAAGATACATTTATAATGCAGTTAGGGATAATAATAGTAAATAGTAAAGTGGTAAATAGTAAATAGTAAAGTGGTAGTTTTGGGCTCTCCTCAAAACTCTGTGATTTATAAACTCTGGCTAGTTAGCTAGGTTTCCAGTTACATATGTATGTAATGACAATTCATGACAGAAAGAGACCATGGATTCAGAAGAAAGCAAAGAGGGCTTTGAAACAAGACAAGGGGGAGGGGAAAACGTGTACTTGTATGATAATCTTAAAAAAAATAATAATTCAATTTCCCAGCTATTGTGAATAAGCAGATATGAACATGACTGAGTAAGTACCTGAGGAGCAGATCTGAGAAGGTCGTAGAGTGGGTTCAGTTTTAGCTTTCTGGGAATTCTACACATGATTTCAATGGTGGCTGGATCAGTTTTTGATCCATCAGCAGTGGATAAAAGCTTCCATTTCCTCACAGCCGGTCCATCATTTGTTGTTAGTTGTTTTCTTGATATGTGCCATTATGACTCAGGTAAGATGAAATTTCAAAATTGTTTTAGAAGAAACTCTGACCAACTCGAGAATGGCTCTGGCAGGCCTTGCCCTTCTCCCTAGTTCCTTCTCTCTGCCTTGCTAAAAACTATTAGATTTCATTCCTAAAGCTAGCTACCAAGGTCTACTCACTTAGGCTGACTGCCCAAGGTCCCACTATCAAAGTATTGAAGTCCAGCAATCAAAACCCTCTTTTGTTTATCTAATTAACATTCCCAACTAAAATTAAACACTTCATCCTAACATGGAGTTTCCCGTTTGCCTTTATAAACTGCAGGTTTATGGGTCACATCTGTCTCCTATTTGGAAGCAGTCCTTTATCCCCCAGGATAAATAAAATACTTCCTCCTCTCTCTTGTTCCCGTCCCTTCCCTCTCAGTCTTTACTTCCTGTCTTTTTCATATATTCCCTGCCCTTTGTCCCTCTGTCAAATAAATCTCCTTTTGTTCTGAGAACTTAGTCTTAGGGGTCCTGGGCCTATAATAATCTCTTATAGTTTTGATTACTAATTTCCCTTATTGCTAGGATAATAAACAATTTTAAAAGAAATACCTTATCCATATCTTTCTTCTTTTGAGAATACTCTGTTCATGTTCCAGGCTCATGTTTTAATGGATCATTTGGGTTTTTTTTTTTACTGATTAAGTTCTTTATATATTCTAATATTCTCTATCAGATATATATTTGTCAAAGGTTCTCTCCCATCCTGCGGGCTTCTTCTTTACCCTATTGATTGTCCCAGTATGTTTTCCTCTTGTTGAACAGATCTTAAGTTTAATTATACAGCTATTGGTTACCACCAAGGTATGAGTGACCCATGGCCCTACTGTATACCTTTAGGGTTATCGTCCTATGAAGGTTGTTGTCATGGTTCATAGGCATCATAGCTGGGTAGAACTGTTAGTCACTTCCATCCTTTGGAAGCTTGCATGGTGCTTTCTGGTTGCTTTCCTTCTTTAGAAGCTTTCGGGTCAGATCCATCTCAGGGTCCTCTAGTCCCTGTTTCTTAAGTGCATGGTGTTTTCAGCAATAAGAGTTTACCTTGCAGCTCTGCAGAGGAGCCAAGGGCAGTAACAATAGCCTATAATATTTTGGGGGACTCTTGGAAAATCCTGACCAACAACTCAAATGAGGGCTTCTATGCCTGGTTTCGGAGGGTGGTGTTAAATGGTCTTTGCCTCTTGCAGGGGGTATTGTCAGCCAAGATGAGTAAATTCTACTTAAATTATATATGCATATTTATACACTGACTTACTCACATGTATTATAAGTATTTCTAGATAGAGAGTTAAGGAGCTGGGCTTCTGTTACCCACTGAACCCCAGAGAGAAGCCACCGTGAACATCTCCAGGTTTTGCTTATAGCAATTACTGCAGTAGTGTTTTATCTCAAATGAAGTTGAACCCCAAGTCATGCCTCTGTTCAACAACATATTACATATTTTAAAGAGTCCCCAAAGATTCCCTTACCTTTCAAAAACATCCCTATTCTACAATAATAATTACAGAAAAAAAACTTCAGTTTTATAGGGAGTGGGGATGCATGGGAGGTATTCAAGGGGGAGAGATAGTGGTAGAAATATAAATATAGTACTCATATATGACATTCTCAAAAAAATAAGTTAAATCAAAAGCTTAATATTTACTTTTGTGCTATAAACAGCTAAGAAATAGACTCAGCCTACATGTTCATCAGTAGATGAATGGATAAAGGAAAACTGATGCATACACAATACAGAATTATATTTGCCATAAAGAAAAAATGGAAACATAACATTGAAAGAAAATGAGTAGAAATTATTTTAAGCAAAAGAAACCAGATTGTTAAGACAAATATTGACTCTTTTCTTCATATATAGATTCTGAATCTGAAGTTTTAGATATGTGTGTGGAAAAGGCTCATTTACACACTATCAGGCTTCAGGATTATGTTGTTATAACATGAATGGACCTAGATGTCTATTCATCTGTTGATGGACATTTGTTTTACTACCACTTTATGGATATTAGGAATGAAGTCCTTTTCTAGGACTATGCTGTGTAAGGCTCTGTCTTCTGAACCACACTGTACACCTTCATAAGGTCAGCTGTGTCTACTTACCAGAGTCCATCACACATTAGGCTGTTGAGATTCCCACCAAGAAAGATGCAGCCAGCCTCTTCTCCCAGTCATTTGCATGCAATTCTGCTCTAATGCTTGTGGCCTCAGGATTTCAGAGAGGGCCTTGAATATATAGGGTGGGGAAAGCTAGGGGAAAGGAAACTTCATTGTTTATTCTGTAGGGAAGATATCACCCATGCTTCCAGTGCAGCTGTTCTGGGATCTTTCATGGTCCTGTAGGCAACCCCTTACCCATGATGCACAAGAAGACCAATAAATGAAATGGTTAACCATGAAAAAAAAAACCTTAAAGAAAATGCCCATATATCTGGAGTCACTGTCAGAGAGAGAACAACATTGCACTGGCAGTAGTCCCTGCTGGGGTAAACCAAGTGAATGGTATATGTGATATCTTCATGCTTTCATTTTTAATTATTTTTTATTGAGTCTCACATGATATAAAAATATAAATTTTATTAAAAATATAAATATTTAAGAATAAAACAATCCTTAAATTTTCCCCAAATTTAGCTGCATAAAGACAAATTTAACTCACTTAAAGCATGCATGTGTAGGGTGATTACTGAAGATAGTGGCGTTGCTATTATCAGAAAGCAAATTGAAAAGTCAATATGAGCAAAATCAATACTCCTTACCATAGACTTACTTGATGCAATTTTCTAGATTAGAGTTGGAGATCAGAATGGGTAACCTGTAACTAAACCAAGACAGACTGAGATCTGAGCTTTGACTAAACCTGTATGTCCTGGTCATTCTAAGGCTCCAGGGCTCCCTCTGCTCCCATTGTGGCATTATTCATTTTCTATCAGGCAGGAAGATTTCCCTAGAGACAGCCTTCACTTTGTTCTTTTGTGACTCCCAATATACCTTGAGCGAAGAGAGGTCTTTTCACAGTTCACGCCTAGCTTTACTGTGGTCTTCTCTGTCTCAAGCATACTCTGACTTTGCTATGCTCAACTTCAGACTCTTTATGTGAGTCTCAGAAGGAGCCATCTCTTGAAAAGCTTCCAAGCAATTCAAAGATGACCTTTGAGTACTATGAAATGAACCAGATGTTGGGTGGAATGCTGTTAGCCATGTTGCAAGAAAGGATAAAAATAAATCTAAAGTGATTTATTCATTCCTTAGCTTTTGAGTTGATATGTAATTCTCATTCTCTTTTCAAATTATTCTAGGGAGAAAATCCATTATATTCGGACAGAGGGCAATCATGGGCTTGAGAAATTGTCCTGTGATGCAGATCTAGTCATTTTGCTGAGGTAAGAGGTTGGACCTGAGACCTTCATGAAAAGCTACAGTGGAGAAGTTGGAGAAGGCCTTGAAACCAGCTTGAAAAGGATGAGAATCACACTTTCCATTTGCTCTAGAAGATCATAGAAGCAGAGATTCTGTCCTTGATTGACAGCCCTTGCTGTGCATACTTATTGTTAGATGTGCAACTAGAGCATTAGGAGCTGTTATGTATAGTTTTATGCTACCACCTTTGCTCCTGGATCTGAGACTGCACTATCAGCCCCTACCTGGCTTCCCTTTTGCTCTACCCACCTTTAGCTCTGGGACGTGATGCTACCAGCCCCCTCCCAGCTTCCCTTGAATCTGAGGATAAATGACACATACACAGTTTGTTCCTTTACAACTTGCCTTCTTGGCAGATTTGCTGGGTGCTAATATCTTCTGCCTAGAAAAATATACCCTTACCAATTTATTATCTCTGTCGCTCCACCTGATCTAAACTTTAGTGGCTAGTTCCACCTAGCCCCTGTTAAACATCCTTGGCCACCCACATGTAGTAGTGGCCACAGGTCCCAGTTCCCTTCACCCATGCCCCTCACATGGTTTCTGTGTTCTTCTTCCTCCAAACCATGGCAGAAAAAAAAAACCCTCTCTCCTTCCTTGCCTTTTCTTCCTGGGACCCAGAAGTACTGCCTATACCTTCCATTCAGCAATTGACCCTGGGCTTTCTTTATTGACAAGTCAAGAACCAATTGGGGAACAGGAACTTAGCATCAGAACTGCCCCCTTCAAGGGGCTGTGAAGTTCTTAATGGAGACTTTGTTGTAGGGCTAACAAAGGGTTAAAGAACCAGAGAATTTGCAAGTGGGGATTCTAACTGCTCTTTCAAAGTCTGTGTATACTTCTTCATGGGGAGGACAACTAACTTTCCTCTTTTTAACCTTGACAGTCTCTTTGAAGAAGAGATCATGTCCTATGTCCCCCTGCAATCTGCCTTCCACCCTGGATATAGCTTCTCTCCCCGCTGTTCACCCTGTTCTTCACCCCAGAACTCCCCAGGTAACTTGGAATTCTGGCCTAGTGTGTGTTTTCTTAGTGGTCCTGTGTGTTTTCACCGACTGAAATCGAATACATACAGACATACAGTTGTGTGTGTGAGTGCATGTGTTCTCTCTCTCTCTCTCTCTCTCTCTCTCCATCCTAATCAAAAGTACACTGTAAATCGGGTATTGACAAACTAAACTTCTGCCTGTTTTTATAGTTTCCCCAAGCTACAGTGGGACTTGTTTATGTTTCTAAATGATTGAGAAAGAAAATAAAATATATTCTAATAACTATCCCAAGCCAGCCTAAAGCTCATGGCTATATTGAGATAGCCTCCCAGATACTGAGATTACAGGAGTGTGATATGCCCAAGTGAACAATAAAATCAAACTCAGTATCTCTAAGTAATGATTCTAGAAATCTGCCCATGCTTGGCCATATTTATATTTTCTGTGGGAGATTTCATATTTACAGCAGTAGATATGAGCAATACTAGCAAAATTGTATTGCCTTAAAAGCCTACTTTATTTACTCTCTGTCCCCTTATAAAGCTGGATCCATACCTTAACCTGTCATTCTGCCCTAATGGCCACTCCAAGCATTTCAAAGGCATTTATTACGGGCAAAAGAAAGTTTGCATAGAAATGGTGTGCAGGTCTTCGTTTATTTTAGCAAAAATATTAAAATGTTGACTATCTGATACTGTGGGTCATACAGTGTCTTCAATGTTCTTCAGATTTGTTTTATATTTTGGTCTTATAAGTGTCCCTTCTAAGAATGTTGCTTTATACAAATACATACCACAGAGGAATATTTATGGCTATTTCAGAAGCTGTTGGAAATTCTGTTCTAATCTTAAGCCCATATTCATTGATTTTTTTTTAAATAAAACTCATGGAAGGCTTTTTAAAATCAAGCACTCTAAACTAACTCAATCCAAAGGCATATCAGTTTTGATATTTATATGCTGAAGAATGACGACAGTAGGAAAATACTAAAATGTGTTTGTCTTCTGTAATAATTCGTGTCGTGCAGTAGTCTCCAAGCTACACTGAGGTGTTCAGGCAGTGTTCATTGAAATCACAAGCCATGACAGCATGCACAGTGCAAAGAATACATGTAGTATGTTCAGACCAAATCTGCAATAAGGTTGTGTGGAGTACAAGAGAGTTCTGCCAGACACACTGAGGACTCATTTGGTTTTGAATTAACTTATAGTTATTGTGTGTTCAGAAAAAATTAACGCAGCTTCCATATTCAGTTACACAGTTCATGAAATGTTGATCTAATATAAACCCCTAAATGTGTGAGTCCTAGCATATAAGCATATTTTTCTTCTCAGCATCAGTATCAGTACAGATGCATGGAACATTACACATGCTAAGGTCCTCTTGTTTCATTCTACATTCAGTCATCAACTTATAAGAAAACTTTGAAATGAGCAAGTCAAGACAATTCTCATGGATGTGCTTTTAACAGAAACACACTTGAATGATTAAAGTGGAACATATACACATTCCAATCAGGATCCACTTTCTCATTGCTATTTTAATTCTATTTAATATAAAAGTTATTGTGTGGTGACAATGAAAGGGATTTCTTAGAGATGGCCACTAAGGCTCGGGACATGTTTCCATGGCTCTGCTGTCACCCTGCACAGGTGTTCCTGAATTAAAAGTCATAGCTATCACTATGTGCTTCTCTGTACAGGTTTACAGAGAGCCAGCGCAAGAGCCCCTTCACCTTACCGAAGGGATTTTGAAGCTAAGCTCCGCAATTTCTACCGAAAACTGGAAGCCAAAGGATTTGGACAGGGTCCGGGTAAAATTAAGTGAGTACCTAGTACTGGGCCCTAAATTAAGGGAGTTACCTTTTTTATCTATTCACATTTTGCATCTGCAACATTGGATATATTAATATGGTAACACTATGGCCTGAAAGGAATAAATAGGAAAATTAGAAAATTGGAGGAAAAATGAATAATGTGCAAGTAATTGGAAGGGAGAAGACAGGAAAAAGAGAAAGAACTATAGATTTAATACAAAGAGGTACATGGCATCATCAACAGACCTTTCCAGAAAACAGAGACCCCTAACCCAAGCTAAAATCCTATATTTCCATTCATATAAGAGTAATCAAGGCAATCTTTGTGAACTCTTTGCAACTTTGCAATGAAGTCAAGTAAAAACAGTGTTACCTTCCCCATGGGTTTATTATTTTCATTGAAAAGCTGAGCTCAAATTTAAAATCGTAACTTAAGATACCTCCTAACCTAAGACACATGATACCACTTAACAAAACAATAATTTTAAATACAGTTGGGTGTGTCAGGTGATAAGCATACGTGTGTTCTTTGAGTGTCAGCATTTTGAATGTGTCAAGCCCAGTACCAAACGGACAGAACCTCTGTCTTGTCTTTCCCTCTCTCACTAGAAGTTAATGAGTGGAGCTATACTAATGAGTACTCAGGATTGGCACACAGCAGTGCTCAGCAGCCTGATGTCACTGCTTCCATTCACCATGATCTTTTATTCTCAGGCTCATCATCCGTCGAGATCACTTGTTGGAGGGGACCTTCAATCAGGTGATGGCATACTCCCGGAAGGAGCTCCAGAGAAACAAGCTCTACATCACCTTTGTTGGAGAGGAGGGGTGAGGCACCAGGAGCTTCATACAGATCAGTGTGGGGAACTCAAATCCCAGGAATGAGAGGAAATGTCTCTTAGAAAAAAATAGAGTGGCTACAAACCACTGGCCTAATGTGGTTCTAAGTATAAACTCTTAGTAAGCTTTCCTCTCCCTAGGCACTCTCAAGCCTTCTTTCAAGGCCTTCTTTCTCTTTAAAGAAAAAGAAAAAAAAGAAAAAATTCTGAGTTACTGGCATGTCCCAAAGTCTGAGATCCCGAGACCAAAGTATAATATAAATAAAAATCCTGAACAATTGAACATTTACTTTATAGCTGGTATACATTTCTGAAAATGGAAAAAAACAAAACTCTTCACCCCAAAATGCATATATCGAATTATATACCATAGTTTTCATTCTGTGACTTCATTAATTCCCTAAGTGTGCAATTCAACTACCTTAAAGGCAAATGAAATGGACTTGTAAGGTTGTATGAATATACACACACACACATACTTTCACACACTTTTGTAGGAAATTTTCTTATGTTCCCACAACAAGGCCTTGTTTGCAATGGGTCAGCTGTGTGTTTTATCTTATAGATACTTGATAGTTGAAAGGAAGAAAGTTTAAATATAATTGCTGTAGGAGTTCATTCATAGACATTTGGTTAAAAAGTTCCCCAAAACCAATATTGTAGTCTATACATTGATACTTCCACTTGGAGTTCACTGCAAGGAGAACAGACTGTTCACAGGCCCCATACCTGACAGTCCTCACTAGGATCTGGATTAAAAAAAAAAACTATCACAAAACTGAACTTCCTGGACCTGTGCTTCTTTTGCAGCTTGGACTACAGCGGCCCTTCTCGAGAGTTCTTCTTCCTGTTGTCTCAGGAGCTCTTCAACCCTTACTATGGACTCTTTGAGTATTCTGCGAATGACACTTACACAGTACAGATCAGCCCGATGTCGGCATTTGTAGAAAACTATCTTGAATGGTAAGGTCTCTAATGTTTACTTTTCATATTTAAAACTTGTTGTCTTTTTGAGTCAAAAGTCAGCAACATTTCTCTAGAAAAACTTCATCTGGAGCAGTTAGCCAAGAATAGTTAGATCCCAAGAGCCAAAATCCTAAATTAACACCCACAGACTCAAGAATGCTAATCATTACAGAGAGTGTAAGACATTACAGAGAACCAAAGACACTGATGTTATAACAACTGTCAATTGATGATATAAGATAGAATAATTGCCTACTTAAAATACTCCAAGAAGACATAGATCATAAAAATTGATAATTTTACTGAAATCACAAATAGGCCACTGGATGCATCTCAGAGGTATTCATGGTTTTAAAATTCTCTTGCCTTGAACCAATACGCCTTTAGCATTGGACTTATATCTTACCATAAAATAAAAGTCAGGTGACCTCTAAGCATCCATCTGATTTGAAAATTCAGTGTTTTTTATTGGCTTCTAATAAGGAATTCTATTACCTATTATGAATATGAATATGAAAATTAGAATTTGTCAGTTCGGTGTGGCTCTGTGGGCTCAGTATCTTTTGTTGCTGATGCCTCCAGAAATCTACATAGAACGTTTAGTCACGGACAGCTACATCATCCTCGACCTAATTTGATTATCTCATTGATCTCAGGAGGTCTTTTTTGGGTTCTAGAAATGGATAACACCAGTCCTTTTTAAAGCAGCTCATTTATACTATCATTAAATTAATCTATGGAGAATTCTTAGATGTATTTGTTATTTTTCACATTGCTGTGACAAAATACCAGGTAAAACAAATTAAGAAAGAAAGGTGGATTTCCACTCACAACTTGAGGATGTAATCCATCCCTGGGGAAGCATGTTGCAAGAGTGTGAAATGCTTGGCCATATTGCTCTGCAATCAGGTAGCAGAGACCTATGAATGCTTGCACTCTACATGCTTCCTCCTCTTTATTTAAGTCAAGCACCCTAACCTGTAGAACAATGCAATTCACATGGAGTATGTGTCTTCCCACCACATTTAAATATCTCTAGGAATATCCCTACAGACAAGCTCAAAAGTCTATCTTCCAGATGATTCCAATCCCCATCATGCTTACACTCAAGATTAACTATCACAAGTCTACTCCTTGTAAACTTAATAACCAAACATAAAACTTTAAATTTTTAATACACTTTATTTACAATTTTTTATAAAATACATTTTAGTTTTGTTTGCTCTTTAGTATTTTTTCTAGTTTTATTTTATTGAAAATGGATTTTTTTCATACAAAATATTCTGATTAAAGTATTTGCTCCACCAACTCCTCCAAGATCTTACTCACCTCTCCTCCCATGCAAATCTACACTCTTTTCGTTTCTCATTAGAAAACAAACAAACATTTAAAGAATAACAATATCATAAGATAAAACAAGAACAAACAAACAAACAGGAATAGGGCAAAACAAACAAACAGAAGAAAGAGAATCAAAGAAATAGCTTAAGTAACACACACAAATGCAAATGTAAAGACACACACATTCATACACACAGGAATACCATAAAAAACACAAAACTAAAAGCCATAATATATATGCAAAGGACCTGAAAGGTTATAAAAAGGAGAAGGAGGAGGAGGAAGAGGAGAAGAGGAGGAAGAGAAGTAGAAGAGGAGGAAGAGAAGGAGGAGGAGAAAGAGGAAGAGGAAGAGGAAGAGGAAAGAGAGAGTATGCTCACCATACTAACTTCTGACCTTACTGATCTAAAAGTAATATGATTGTGACACACATGCACAGAGAGAGGTGAGGAGGGAGTAAGAAGAAAATAGCCTCACAAAACGTTATGAGGAAAAGAAATGCCAAAGATGCCATTGAGTTGGTTTTGTATTGGCCAGCTACTGCTGGGTATGAAGCCAGCCCATAAGAGTGGTTTGTATGCCCAGTGAGTTGTTATTGGAGAGAGCTAACTTTTCATTTGTGAGCTATTGAAGATAGCTTCTGTGTTAGGGATATGGGCTTTGTGTCCACTTCTCTCAGCATTAGGACCTCATTTGGTGCAGACCCATGCAGATCCTGTACATGTACCACAGTCTGTGAGTTTGTATGTTCCCTTGCCCTACTGTGTTGAGAGGGCCAGATTTCATTGTATTTCACGGGTGTTTTTGTAATCTTTCCACACCTTCTTTCACAGGGTGGCCTGAGCCTTGAATGGAGGGATGTGATGGAAACATTCCATTTAGGATGGAATGTTTCAAAGTCTCTCCCTTTCTGAACATAGTCCAGCTTTGAGCCTCTGCACTTGTTCCCATCTACTAAAGGAAGAAACAACTCTGATGATAGCTGAACAAGCCACTGATCTACAGATAGAGCAGAATGTTCATCAGAGTAATGTTTGTTCAGTCACCAAGCAACCCAGGCTACTGCCAAGGCTGTCGGTTGCTCTCCACAAACTGACAGTAAGGCCCTATTGCTGAAGACAGTACCTACACAACTCACTGAACATGGAGAAGTCAAACTGCTGTTACCTAAAGCCTTTACCGGTGAACTAGTGTTCATGATACTGGAAAGTACTCTTCATGCTGCCAAAGAAGAAAAATAAACACTAACCCAGCTACAAACTCTAATCTATGATGATGATCTGTCTGCATCTTGCACTAGTCCAATAGTGACACAAAGTTTGTAGAAGTGACCGACCATTATCTGATTGAATTTAAGGCCCATTCCATGATATAGATCACATAGCTGACACTGTTCAAGTGACCATAAAATACATTTTGATCATTTCAGGTATGGGTTCTATCACATGGAGTAGGCCTTAAATCCAACGAACAGTGGTTATTTACCCCCTTAACATTTGTGCCATTATTACACCAATATATATTGTAGGCAGGTTGCTTTTGCAGGTCTCAGGATTTTGGATGGGTGATACTGATGACTACTTTTCTTCTCTGGCAGCATGAAAAGTCAGTTTCAGTACCATGGATACTAGTCAGTAGGGGTGAAGCTTCTAGTCAGGCACTAGCCAAATTTCTCCATATTCAATAATATTATATCACATTCCCGCTCCCTTATCTAATCCAACCCAGTTAACCTCCCTTAAATTCCTTCTATTCCTCAACACTCTCAATTTGATAGTCTGTTTTCTTTTATTACTATTGTTACATACAGTATAGATAGAAACATACATCAATTAAGTAAATAGTGTCTTCAACAATAGGTTTTTACCTTACCATCATCTTGTGAAGGATAACTAATAACCTTGACAATGTTCTGTGATGTTAGTCAGAGGATATAGGACATGTTTAGCCAATGACTCACTAGGATGTAACTTATTCCTGACATTGGACATTTCACTTAGTGGCATAAGATTCTACTTAGGGCATTGTCTCCCCTATTACATAGTGACTTTATATAATCTACTTTTAGATATGTATATGTTTAAGAAAGCTTCCACAGTAGTGGGCTTCAATATGGTTTGTCCTTTATTTTTCAATATGGTTTCTCAAAAGAACTTAATTTTAGTTGACCCTCTCCATATTCCTTCCTTTATTTTGTCCTCTTATAACCCTCCCTATTAATCCTTCTAATCTAGTTTTCCCTTTATCTATTTATAACACTCTATTCTATTTTGCCTTCTTTGAAAGGTTCCTATTTACTCCCTGGCTACTTCCTAGCTACCTAACTTCTATGGCTATTCCAATTGAAACATACATATCTGAAACTTAAAAACTAACATCCTCGCTATCTGAAGAGACCTCCAAAAGTTTCAAAGGACTTTATTGGACTTGATTTACTCTTTTACAATAGAAAAGGGTGTGTACAGCTCTTGACTGTGTATGGCACTTAAAGAAGAATGTTGCCTTTACATAGACAAGACAGGGATGGTTAAAGAGAGCATGAAAAAGGTCGGAGAAGGACCTGAGAAAAGTCAGAGAGAGAAAGAAAGATGAGTGCTGGTACAAGAATTGGTTTTCAACCTCTCCATGGTTGTCAACCCTACTTCCTTTCATCTTGGGACCATTAATTGGGTTATTTTTTGCTTATTTCTTTTGGTCCCTGGGCCTTAAATAGACTAACTTTGTGAAACAACAGATAAATAATTTGGTAGCAAAACCTTTTCAAATACATTATCATAAGTTAGCTATGGAGGACCACAAGACTCAAGATAAGGTTGTTACTCTATCCAGGTTGTTCCCAAAACCCATCTCCACCCAACCTAAAAGAGAGGACTTCCTCTCCTAGACCAAGCAGAGAGGGGCCACCCAGAACCCCCTCTGACTGGAGATCTGAATTCTTGCTTAGGCTGCGGGACTAAGCACTGCAAGGGAATATAAATAATAGTTAAAAATATCTCTCTGGGTTCCCTGAGGGACAAGCCTGACTGCATAGGGGTTGATGTCAAAAGTATCCCCTCTCCAAGAAAAAGACTTCAGGATGAATATGGCCCTCATGCCTCACTGGGCAACAGCAGGGGGACCAGAGCCATTACAAAGTCCCCTTCAAGTACTGGAGGTCAGGCCTCTATCCCTGCCTTTGCAAGATTAGAATTGCCACAGCCCTTCTATACTTAGAGAAGGGAGGAGAGGCCTAAAATCAGCCATAGGCCTAAAATCAGCAATAGACCTCTCATACATGTATACGAACACCAAGTCTTGTGTCTCTGAGGAAAAACATTGAAACAGAGGGCTATAAGCTATTATAATCAGGCAGTTTTTGTGGAAATTTACTGGCCTGAGTAGTCATAGACCTTGCAAATAGATAGCCTTGGCGGATAATACCAACTTAGATAAGGACAAGTGAATCATAGACAGAGTCATAGTGACCTGTCCCCTGAACCTTCACCCAGCCGATACCATGTTCTGAAAGATATCCGTACACCCCCTGAACACCCACGCTCCGTTGTCATCCCCTTCCCCTTGTCCTGCCTTTTTGTGTTTATAACCCCTGTGTGAATAAGTAAAAATTATGATTTGATTTTAAAAAATAAATAAAAATATTTAAAAAAAGAATGTGA